CTTTGCTGCTGTGGAACTACATTGAGATGCCATTTACATACTAGGTACTCTGATAGACTGATTGGAAATGTTCTTCATACTGGTAAAGTAGAAACTTGATTTTCCATATAAGACAAAAGTGTTTGAATCACGTGCGAACATCCCAGTGAGTTGTTGAAGTCTATTAGTCTGACAGTTTACTCTGAATGTTTACTCTGTGCATTTTAACAACCTGCTCCTCGCTCCCTTGAGGCATCGTGGCCCTGTGCGCTACACGGCGTAGAAATTGAAAGCGAGGGTTCAGTCGCTCATTAATCAGACCAGAGTTTTGCAGCGACAGAAGCTAACGACTGAAGAAGCTGCATCCTAAGTCCATCCGCACATGGAATAATTTTTGCCATACATTAGGCAGATCTGACACACGGCTCTACTGCCTGTGCTGTTTTATTCAAGAGAGCAGTTCATGCAAAGGAATATATTTTACTTGTTCTTTTAAAATGTAGTTCTGTCAGCAGTCAAGAGACTGAGGTGCCGCCTTTACGTTTATTTTTTTGCTGCCTTTACTTGATCAGTTAATAAGGTCAGTGTCTTTCTTTGGATACAAATCAAATGCAAATGGAATATAGAAAAGTTTCAAAAAGGGAAACAATTGACTGTATTATGAATAATATATGAGCAATATCTACTTTTTGCATCTAAAAAGATGTCACAGAAAGGCCAATGATAATTGAATAACGTTCCTTCTAGTAACAATCGATCAGCAGAGATATTCAGACTTTGTCACATTACATCACAATCGGAATTTAAGCTTCAGAGGGCATGTGGGTGGGTTTTACCCACAGACTGTAGTGGTTTTAATTCATTACCACCTTGTTATATTCTTAAACCGAACTAAATTAGATTAAACTAAACTAGGTTTGCAAGGGATTCTCTCCATCACTGATTGTAAAATAGTTTAGCTTTTTTTAAAATAAATGTAGCTATTTGATTTGAACAAGGATGCTTTGGTTTCTTGTAAGAAAGCACTCCATACCTAATTTTCACTCATTGGAATGCTACAAATTGACCTGTTACTTCATGTATGCACTGTGCAGTTATAGTGTTAACAACAGTATATATATATAGGAAAAAGGAACATGAAAAGCTTGAGAAATACCAAGGTCTCAGAGAGGAGCTGGAGAGGGCCTGGAGGGTAAAGGTGACAGTAGTGCCCGTGGTGATCGGTGCACTCGGGGCAGTGACCCCGAAGCTAGAGGAGTGGTTACAGCGGATCCCCGGAACAACCTCGGACATCTCGGTCCAGAAATGTGCAGTGCTAGGAACAGCAAAGATACTGCGCAGAACCCTCAAGCTCCCAGGCCTCTGGTAGAGGACCCGAGCTTAGAGAGGGATAACCGCCCGTGGAGGGCCAAATGTGAGATTTTTTTTTTTTTTTATATTCAGCTGAATAAAACAATGATATTGTAGCAGATTTAGCGTTCCACTTGGTTGAACCCTCTTTCCAATAGAACTTGAAAGAGGGCTTTACCTCAGATATCGGTCACATGTGCAAATATGCATAATGAGGTTATATAGGCAGAATGAAGGATCGCAGTAGCACAAAGTCCCTCATGAATGATTCTTTAAATACAGCTGGGTGTGAGGGTCCAGAGATCTCTCATAAAAATACTTTGTATTCATGCATTTCTCAAAGACAAAAAGGACCAATCTATTTTTACTTTGATCCCAACTGGACAATATTTTATGAGAATTTGAAACAGCTGAAGCGTGAAGGATTGTCTTTGATGGATTTGATCAATTTCTGACCCTTTTTTATGAATTCACCTCAAACACACCAAGCCAACTTCAATTTCTTGCCTGTTGTTTCTCTCAAGTCAGGTTCCTTCAACATTGAGAATTTTCTCCTAATAATTGCACTCTGTATGCTAACAGCCTGATCTTGATGTGATCACAGTATTTGACATTAACCGAAACTGTAATGGATAGTGGCTCATTTTACCTAGGTGCAAGAGTAGGCCGTGATCGCTCCCTATGGGCTTTTCGAATGTTCTTTCTGAGCTTTGACTTGAACAGTGCATTGAATACTTAAACGGATATTTAGACATCATTTGCTCTGAAAGTGTATTGCCATAGCAAAGGTATTTAATAATTTGGTTGGCAGTGTGTTCTTCTGGCTCATATCTTTCTATTTGGAAACATTCTTTTCAAATCAAACCAAGTCTCTAAATGATCATCTCCACTTTCAGGTATCTCTGCCAATGATTACACACATGTTTTTTGATCACACAAAAAAGTGATGAAGTCAGTTCTGATATCTGAAAACAAACTTTTTTTCACTAATAGAGCGTTCCATTTGTTGTTGCTGTACAAACAAAACAGAACTTCTCACTCTGAGCTGTAGCCCTAACACAAAAAGGTGGATTCAGTTCTACATTCAACAGTTTTTTTTACTTGTGTCCCCACCACGTTAGAGTGTGCTCTCCAGTGGCATGTGTAACTGTTTGATCTTTGTTTACCATAATTCTTCCTGAAATATAAAATGTACAAACTTTACAGGCAAACTGTGGATGCCCTTTCATGTCCTTCTGTTTATTGCAGACAGAGACAACCAGTGTTGCATCTGATAAACTAATGTGAGTAAGAAATCTATATTTATATAGCGCCTTTCACAATCCAGAGTCACAAAGCGTTTTACAATTGTCTCTCACTTCACACAGAGAAAAAAAATAATTATGTAGCTGACAATGAATGAAAGCCTAAAAAGATTTATTCTCAGATTTCAAAAGAAGTAGTGTCTAAAAGCAGCTAACCTGTACGGCTTTGATAAAAAAAATCATAAGGTTGACATGAATTGCAATTTAATCTAAAGCTAATCAGCCGAACTGCAAGGGCCATCGTTGAAGTCCAACTGACATATTAACTGAAAGTGGTTAGCAATCTCGCTTCTAGGCAAAAAGCTCGTGTGTTTGAATCCCGGTGGTCTGCAGAATTTTCCTCCGGGTGCTCCTGTCTCCACCTCCACAAGGTCAGCTCTTTTAGTCCTAACTAAGGAAAATCTGGAGAAGGTCCCTGGGCGCTGTTCTACGATGTCCACTGCTCCTGACAGAGGCCCTCGTGGCATTGGAGGGATGGGTCAAAATTACCTACAGGGACAATAAAGTATATTTTGAAAGTTTCCTGTCAAGTATGTGATCTGCTAACCCTGTAGTTTGGATTGAAGTGTGTGATTCTCTGATAGGTTTAAACCAGGGTGTTCAAACTTGTTACATCAAAGGCCATGTACTGAAATGCAGTCAGAGGACAAACAGAAACATAATAACGCTGTTCAAGTATGCCAAATGAGTGAATTTACAATAACCAGAGCCATCTTTACCCTTAACATTGGAAAATGGAACTCTAACAATGTCATTTTGGCTCAACAATTGTAGATCAAATGGTAAAAGGGTAATAAAATGCTCTACCCATCACTTTTATTGGTTACAAGGGCAGGATACTTGAGGGATGAGAAATATTTATTTGGGACTCATGATTGTCCCGGGGGTACAGTTTTCATATAAAAAGTAAACGGTTCAGTCCTCTCTCACTTATTGATGCTCGTAAGAAAGAGACATAATTTTCCCCAGCCCTCGTTTTTTATATTTATATGTCCATGTGATGATCTTACAAATGTCAGATGTGGAAGAGCATGGTTCTTTTGACCCGGGTTAAAAAGAAGACCACTGGATTAAAAGCAAATTAAAAACAATTTATTATAAAACAAGTAAAAGAATAAAAAACAATAAAAACCTAAGCTAAAACCAGAGGCTAAAGTAGGCTAAAAGTTTGTCCTCTTGTCCACGGCCTGGGCCGCCAGACCACGGGGCTCTACCCCTCGCCGTGTCTGGCTCCCGTGTCTCCCTCTTCTAATTGTAGTCACGTGGGGAGCCGGGGTGCTTTGGATGGTGCAAGTTAAAAACAATATTAAAAAACAATGTTAAAAACACACACACGCATAATAATATAAATAAAACCTTGTTAAAACCCACCACCTATTTCGCACCAACCGACACGTACACACATCATGAACAACATTGTACTCTCAATGTGATGCATCTCTTTAGTTCCACAATTTTTTTTTGACCTATGTTGGATGCATCCCCTTGGTTTTTGGCACATATTTCTGCCATCCAAAGATGTCCAGCTGCCCAACCATACACAAAAGTACCAGTGCATTCCTGCGATGTGTTTCATCGGCCCCACGACAATGTGCTCAGCTGACTAATGCGCTGCACCCAGTCTGCTGTGTGCACACTTCTGAAGGAAAATTGGCCCTTAAATCTCAGAGCAGTGAGAACAACCTTGTAATGTCCTGTTAGAGCCAGGCAGTTGAGCCAGGCAGTGAGTTTGGATAAAAAGAAATATAGTATTCACATGTATGTATAGGCTTTGATTTCCATTTTAGAATAATGTTTATGTCATTCAGTTTACACTAACAGCGTCATTGCATTTTAGATAAATATTTTATATATTATTTTGTTTATATTTTATTTTAATATTTTTGGCCTTGCTTATCTCATCAGAGCCCAGAAATCAGGGTCTGGTTAGTAGTGTGATGGGAATACCAGCTGCCACAGTAGGAGGGCAAGACACTCTTGGAATCTACTGCCGGAGATTGGCAACCTCAATTCTTTTAATACAGCGTGGCCCCAGATCTGTCAAATCGGTGGTCAGGTCACTACATAATCAAAGTTTATTATGGTATTATTAACAACAGTAACACTTTTAATGATAGCCAATTGTTTTTCATTACAATATTTGTATTGAGTGTAAAGCACCTTTGTCTTACTGTACAACCCTCTGCTGATGTTGATGACAAATGGCACTCAGATGACTATACATTTGCAGAAAGCACCAGAGCGATAAGAGACAATTGAATTGGATGAATGATTATGATCATGTGGTCATTTGACTTTGAGTAGCGTGTGTAGTTCTCTCCAGGGGTTGCCTGAGCCCCTCCACATAACTGTGTTTGTTTTGCAGGCATGGAGAGCATCAGTGTGGAAGCAGCCTGGGACGGGCTGGGCCTCTCCTCTGCGTTTGCTCAGGGACGCATCAACAACTTCTCCTCCTCCTTTGTTCCTGAGAGCAGCTTTCTGAACAGTTCCCACACTGGGGGCTCTCTCTTCGGCCTCTTCTCTGAGAATGGCTCCAGCACCATCCCTCCCCACACAACCCCTCAGCCCCGGGTTCGGGACGTGGGGTTGGCGCGGGCAGAAGTGGCGGTGCTGGCTATGATCCTGGCGCTAACGACACTGGGGAACAGCTTTGTGCTCTGGGTGTTGCTGCGCCGCAGGAAGCACAACGCGCCCATGCACGTGTTCATGGTAAACCTGTGTGTGGCCGACCTGGTGGTGGCCTTCTTCCAGGTTAGTTTATTAGCTTTTAGAAAACGCAGGCGGAATATTGTTTTTCTGCATAAAAGCAAGTGTTCGGAAATGTTTGTATGGTCTGTTTTGAAAAGATCTGCAGATTAAGCTTCGTGTTTACAAAACACCTCAGGGTTCTATCCTGATGAAGTGGTTTAATTTTCAAAACTGCAAATGTGTATCACCTAATATATTGGTAGTCCATGGTGTTGGGTTAACAACACCTCATAGGAGAGTTCTGCTGTGTTAAGAAGGTCAGTGATTCTTGGTCTTTGTCCACTTTATAATCTATTATTATTTGTAGCAAAGGTCACAGTAATGACCATGTGGCACTCTTTTCAAAATCAATAAAATGAAAGGTCGACATTACAGCCTCATTGTGTGGCTTCAAAGGGTCTATAAGTTATTCTTTTCCAATTATCATTAAATTGACACATTAAATTAGTGTTATGCTAATTACTTCCCTTAATATGACCTCCAGTTAATTTACTAGAAAGATAATAATGTAGACTTCTGTGCCCGACACAAGTATCAATAGCAGTGTATAAATAACAATGTGACAAGCCATGGTGCGAGTGTTAAGGAGAGGCCTGTGTCCAGCAGCTGCTCCTTCACTGTGTCTGTGATGATGTGAGTGGCCCCAGAAGAGATAAGAAAGAGAAGGGAAAGATGGTGTTTTAAAAGTCTGGAATGGTCAAAGCAAATACAGGTTTTCCTCCCTTATAATAAATACATAGTGTAATTTAACAATTTCCTGTTTTAGTGTTTTATGTCTGTTTCTATGAGAGCTCATAACGTAAAGAATTAGACTTCTCCTGAGGACATACAAACCTGCTTAAATGGATAGTGTTTGGCATGTGGTATTTATCTCCAGTAGATACCTCTAAATCCCAAACAAAGCACTGGTTTACTAATGATGGCCTCACTCTGAATGTGCTGACAAGTGCACTGGCCTTTAGACTTGCATGCTTACAGTACACTAATCCCTTTTTTATAATTAAGCACCTTTCTATCTGTGTCCTGTAGGTCCTTCCGCAGCTGATTTGGGACATCACAGAGAGATTCCAGGGCCCTGATATTCTGTGCCGTCTTGTCAAGTACTTGCAGATTGTGGGCATGTTTGCCTCATCGTACATGATAGTTGCCATGACGGTGGACAGGCACCACGCCATCTGCTGCCCTTTGCAGGCTTATCGTGGGGGGGTCATGTCTCGCTGGAACACACCCGCCATGGTGGCCTGGGGCCTGGCCCTGGTTCTGAGCTTACCACAGGTAGGAGCTCAGACACATACTCAGGAAAACACAGGGTGAATGGGATCGATTCGCATTTGGCGTTCACCCCCGATACCACAGCCGGTCTCAAGATGTGTGTTTTTACCATATGAGGTCACTGTTTCTCACCTTGTTACGCTCGCAGGTGGACTGACCACAAGGTTTGTCGTTTGGGCAGGTGTTCATCTTCTCCCGCTCTGAAGTTTCTCCTGGAGAGTTTGAGTGCTGGGGCCACTTCACAGAGCCGTGGGGACTCAAGGCCTACATCACCTGGATGACAGTGGCAGTGTTCCTGTTGCCCGCACTCATCATTACCATCTGCCAGGTGAGCTCTTTGGCCTCTGGGTTAGTCTGTGTAACATTAAACATGACATAATCCCAAAGCATGTGGTGTGGATGTGGGCCGTTTGTTTTATGAGGACTGTGTTTGGCAAACTGTTCACTAATCTAACTAGAGCTGTGGTTGGGGTCATGTAGCATCCCAGCACACACACAGAGCGCTCTCCCATCAGCTCCCACTGCTACTCTATTTAGGGAGGCATATTTCGGGGCTCGAGCTATTTTCCCTAATTAACACAGCATTTGGAGGCTCATTGCTGAAGCAACTGACTCAAAGTGTGCCATTCTGGACGCTTCCTACCAGGAGCAGGAATCAGATCTCAGCCAAACATGCAGTTCATGCTATTTTTATTATCCAGTTCCAAATCAGCACATTCATCCCCACTTTTAGTCTGTAGCTTTGTAGCTGCAGAGTGAACTACTGCAGCACATCCCCACAACAGTTATTAACTAATAATGTCTCTTTAGTTATTGCCTAAATAAAGTAACTTACATTACTTTGGCATTACTTTGTAATTTAAGATAGATGAATCATATACATGCTTTTATGTTTAAATTAGGATAAACAACACATTTTTAAACTGGCTCAAATAATAGTCTTTGAAGTTTTTAAGAGGGAATTTTGTTATAATTACTATCCATCCATCCATTTTCTACCCTTTAATCCATTTCTGGGTCAGGGGGGTGGCAGTCAGAGATGCCACCCAAGTCACATAGCACCAGCCCCTCACTGACCCTCTGCAGGTGGTGAGTCCACAGGAGGTAATATAATTACTATATTGCTATATTTACTTGTTAACAAATAAACTACAGTGTCACATGCAGAGTGGGGTAATTTAGTCATTTAAAACCTAATGAAAACTTTCTGATGAATAAAACTTTTTAATCAAAAAAATCAGAAAAAAGGCATCATCATCATGCATCATTCATCATCTGTTATTATCTTCCCTGTTTAGTTTTGGAAAGTGTGACATATAGTTAAACTTAACAACATTTTTCACATTTTACAATGTGCCGTTGGTTGTATTTTGTGCTGCATAAAAATGTCTGGCATGAATTGGACGAGCCAATACACGCACACATTTCCTGCCATTTCCAGTGACCTGTGAAAGGCTTACAAGGCCTTACCAACATTTGTTCACATTTCCCATCGTTATTATTTGCCCTTTTTATTTTATTTTCAGATAAGGATCTTCAGGGAGATTCACAACAATATCTATCTTAAGTCCGAGAGGATGGTTATGGCCGAACTAAAGAAGAATGAGATCTTGTTTCGCTTTAATAGTTTTAAGAAAGACGAGGAGCGGAGTGGCAGAAGCAGAGACACGAGAGGGGCCCACCAGCCCCTAAAGGCCGTCAATAATAACTCTCAAACCAACAGCAAAGCAGAGTGTTATGACTATGTGCCATCATCTCTGCCGTACAGCAGCTGCCACACAGACCACGTAACAGCCACAACCACTCTGAACAGCGCAGAATGTCAGGAGCCTCATACCTCATACAAAGTGGAATCCGGCTCACCACGCTGTTCACTTGATTACCCTGCTCCACCACAGCCCAGCACCCCACCCCCCAGCATCACCAAAGCCATGTCCAAGACTGTCCGCATGACGCTGGTGATTGTCCTGGTCTACACCGTCTGCTGGTCGCCCTTCTTTATTGTACAACTGTGGGCAGCATGGGACCCCCACCCCCCTGAACAAGGTTAGTCCTACAAATGATTCATGATGAAATATCAGCACAGATGGCTTTCCTGGTAGGATTACGCTTTGAATAGGAGTCATTTTCTAATTAGGTGGTGCCATAAATAGCCCATAGTACCACCCCCTTTGAGTAAAAAAAAAAGGGAATTTAATATTAGAGCAGCACATTTATGAAATCCAATAAATAAATAATACTAATATTAATAAATTACATTTATATTGTTTATGACCAATGTGTGTGTATGTGTACTTAATTTTAGGGAGAATTGATTTCTAAAAAAAGACAGGAGATTGTGCTTCTATTATTAACAGCATGTGCTCAGAAATATTACTGTTTACAAAACTCCATTGGGAAACAATAGCTGTTGTAATTATTGTTTTGTCCTGCTCAGAATTTCTTTTAATGAATAAATGTGAATCAAGTGGTGAAAATGTCATGGATTCTCTTTTAAAAGTCTGTTTATATTTTGTTGTTATTAAAAGAATAGAAAATAAATTAAAACAAACAATACGTTGTTTGGGTTCTGTATTTTTAGCTTTATCATTCTTCATTGTGTTCCAATGTATGTTTCTTCTTTGTAAGAATTCAAGTGCTTAAAATCAACTGCAAACTGTAGTGTAACACAAAATCAGGACTGACAAGTTTTCCTCTGATCTCCAGATAAACATTGCAAATAAAAACCTGTTTATATCACCAGCGGCTTTTGCAACGGGACCAGATGTTGATGTGTCATCAAGGCGAGCGTCTCACAGAGGAGATCCTTGCAGTCCACACATCTGGGCTTTCTCATGTGCAATCATGCAAACATATACATTTACGCCACCTCCTTAAATACAGATAATCATTGTTTTTGGCCCAACCAGCATCTTTCGTCAAATTCATTAGTATTAGAATGATAAAAGGAGTTGCGGAAAGTTAGTTGCAGAGTTTGTGAGTAAAAACAATATTAGTATACCCTCTGTGTAAACACTGGCTGACTGTTCCTGTGTTCTCAAGACAATTAGTAAATATTTATCTGTTAGTTCCTATAAATAGTGGTGTAAAATGTGCATTTGTGTGTGTCTCAGCAGGCGTTGCCTTCACAATCCTGATGCTGCTGGCCAGTCTGAACTCGTGCACCAACCCTTGGATCTACACAGCCTTTTCCAGCAGTGTGTCTCGAGAGCTGCAACACCTGCTCCGCTGCGGCTCTCGCTCCAGTCGAAGGGGGTCCCTGCCTGATGACTCTACTGCCACACACACCTCCACCACCAAGGACAGCATGTACTGACACTGCTGGAAACACACACATCTTGGAAGAGCTGCTGTCACTGCACCTCTGCCCCAGGACAGAGCGCTGACCTCCACCAGATGTTTTCACAGCTGCACTTTTCTACAGCCCCCTATCAGCACGATGAAGGGTGTCATTGAAGATGTCAGCACCAGATTATGGGGGCACTGGACTATACTCTGTGACAGCATCTGCAATTCAAGATGCCCTTGAATGTAGAGATCCTCACCTCAAGCCAGTCCTTGTGTATTATCACCAACAAGAGCCTCTTAGCCTCTTGGCTGCAGGAATGCGGACCAGACAACTGTATAATGGTCTTGTTATGCCTAATGTGTAAAGCAGAACATCGGAGCTGAGACAAAGGAGAAGGCTCCTGGATAATGGGAGAGGCAGACACCAGGATACACATATGTTACAGAAATGGCTCCAAAAATTCAATAATGTGAACAAACTTTGTTAAATAAATGAAGTGGATTAGATCGAGATGCTTTGAGCCGAATTAATATCAGGAGGAATCCAGTTTGAAGGAACAATGGTGATTTGTTTTAGCAGTGAAACAGTTGCTTCCTCTGCAGAAGAAGCAGCTTCTTGGATCAATGCAAATAGGTCAGAAGGGCAAGGATCGAATAGACCACAAAAATATAAATGAACAATCCAGGTTTCCGCAACCAACTGGGACACAATTATGTGTTGTATTCTGTACAAACACAAGTATGAGGTACACAAGTGACCTTCCTGTTAGCTCCAGGACAAACATGGACTTTAGGAGCAGAGGCAGGAAATGGGTCCATTCCATGTACAGTAATGGCAGTGTAAAGTATATTTATTTAAACATGTTGCACATGACACATTATCACGAGTAAGCTACCTACAGAGTACAGTAAGTGCAAGATCATCATTTAGCAGCAGTCTATTAAGTAAGGTCATTTTTTGCAGGTCTTAAAAGTAGACAACATTGTTCACTCTTGCCTCAAACATCTCCAGCGTCTTTCTGGTGTATAAAGACTGAATGTAATAAATTACTGCTTTTCCCCCTTTTTTGTAAAGTCTTAAAGTTTTAGTTCTATTACTGAATAGCTATTACATATTATTATAAAATAAGTGTGTTCAGATATGTGTTTTTAAAAATAATTCAAGGTGTTTCTCTTCAAAGTGTAAGAAAGGTCAAAATAACTGTCTCATTATAACTGGGTTGAAAATGCTCAAGCCTAAATAATTATGTCAAACTAAATACTTGTTTATGTTTTCTAGATAATTAGCCTAGAAAAATAAGTACTTGTTTATGTTGCACTTAAACATAAGGGTGCAGCTAGCATCAACACACTTAAGAAATAAAGAGTTGGATTTAATTGATAAAGTTAAGCAACCTTTCCCTCACCACTCGTGTTGGGTTGATTTAAAAGTCAATTAAATGTAACTATAGTGTTGGATTTCATTGACTTCATCAATTAACTCGACACTGTATTTCTTAGTGTGCAGTGTATAATGTGAATCTTTTTCCTCTGACCACAAAGCCACTCAGAGCAGTGTGGATGTAGCAGCGCAGTGAGGAGACGAGCTCGGGTCAGACCAAGTGCCTGTAACGTCAGCCCACATTTTTAACAGGGGCTCCCTCTCCGGATTAATGTTCAAATGATGTCAGCACTGTTATTCTTAGCTTGAGCTACCGCCAGTCACAGCGGGGTGTTTGGATATGTAATATCACATCGTGAGCCATATTTCTATGATTCTATTTATTACTGTAAATATAACCCGTGCTGTATGTCTGTATAGTTTTGATATTACTTTTGTGCATAAAAATATTTGTCCATTAACTGCTTACTTGAAATCATATTTTTTTTCAGGTTTTACACAACAGTAGAATATATGCTTTGGTTGTATATAACTGTATGTGGCCATGGTTATACGTGTATCATAAATATTGAGTTGGTCATTGGTTTCCTCGATTATAAGCGGCCGTATCTCTGGGCCGTAGCAGAAGCCCCACCTCTGCCCCATCTTGGCCTTGGAGTACATCTGTCTACATCTGCCCCAAATGACCGGACACTTTGATTTATTGCCAATAACTGAGCGATACGTGGAATCAGTACACCGGGACCGACTTTTGTTCACTCAGGAAATGGACTAACTTCTCCCAAAGCCTCGGGGTGTCCCTGTATTCCTCTTCCTGTCGGGAAGTTCAAAGGTTAAATGATGATTCTCGTGTGTTGAAAGGGCCAGACTTCACTTCCACACAGATTTTTTAGCTGCATTATGGTCTTAAAGTGAACATAACCATATTGACAAATAGATAAAACTTGTCCAATGTTGCCTGTGAGAAAGCATTATTGTGGGACATTGAGACAAAGATGATGTAGTGAACATATTACTGAACTGACTTACCAAACTGACCGGCATGTTTTATTTTGTAACGTGGAAACATAACTAATGCACTTATGATATTGAATAGTGATTTAATTTGGATTGATTATAATGTAATTTGTCCAGATTATATTTAATCTATCTATTCAATCTTCCAATGTGGGTGTGCCCACAATATAAAGGTGTGTAAAACTTTGAAATGTCTACAAAAGTTAAAAGGGTGTGGTTGTGGTTCTTCAGAGAAAAAATGTAGAAGAAAATCCACAATCAAAAAACTGATTACAAAATTAAGTTATTTTTCAATGCGTCCAAAATAAACTTGACTCATATGTGTATTGTACCTCCTCTAAGCCCTTTATCTCAGATGTCAGTGTGTTTGATGGAGGCTGCTTCTTCAGATCTCCGTCTGTCAGTCTGTCGTGGGCTCACCACTGCCTGGACTAAAGTCATATCGAAACTCAAGGTCACTTCTTTATTACAGCGGCTCGCAGTTTCCTGTCTGGGCCGTTATGGGCTTTAAGTGAAACAAACAACCGTGCTCTGATGCTGTCACTTGGGGCCGGGCACTGGCTGATCTCCCCTCTCTCAAATCAATCAAATGCTGGTTTAAAAATGGTTCAAGTGAGTGGCTCCAAAGTGTGGCAGCACCCTCCAACCTAGAACAAAGTCAGTGTAAATCATAGCTTGAGGCAGAGCTATGCACATTTTTCAAGTAAAGCAGCCAACCTGGCCATCGCTGAGCCCAGAACAGGACCCTGGGAGGTAGAGGCCTTGTATCCAATCCTTCACTTATCCATTCCTCCTAATGTCTTTAAGCACAGCAGTTAACATCAGATGGATATTAGACCGGATTTGTTTCCTTTCTTTGAACATGCTAACCGTTACAAGAGAGCAACATTGTATTTAATGTATTCCTAAAAGAGTTATTGAAGATCTGCTTGATTGTCTAATGTTGTTCAACTGGAATTCTGTCTCTCTGAACAGAAGATCACAAGTCTCAAATTTGTTTTAGAAATTCATAAAGAAAACATGTTTGTAACGGTTTCATCATTACTTCATGTGCCTATAAAAAGAGTCTGGAAAAATGTTTCAAAAATATATCTGCAGTTTTTCCAGTGTGGTTTCATTGCAAATGGCATTCAAACTGAATTCTTTGTCTTGAAGTTGGCCTGCCTCATATGAGAAATGGGAATGCACATGTCTGAAGAACCAACAATTTTGAAAATCAAAACTGTATAGTAGATAGGGTCCTAAACATTTATGACTTCAAACTGTTGCCCCAGAAGAGACATTTACAAGTAGTATGTAAAAAAAAAAAAACATTGGACAATAAAACACATTCCTCTCATTCCCACCTCACTCTATCTAAAGAGACTTTTTGTCAGCCCATGCTGGATTTACATATGGTGGTCCAAGCCAATCATTCCCTTCAACGTATCTTTAAACTACACACAATGTTTGATAAGAATATGATCAGCTGAATATGATCAGCTGAATATGATCAGCTGAATATAAGCAGCTGTTTTGCCCAAATATAGTCATGCCTGTATTCCTATTTTTCAAAAAACACAGAAGAAATATTCCCATGATGTCTATGACGATCAGCTGGTGCTTTTCACTCTGGCCCACCATGTTTGTATTACCTAAAGACTATAGTATTCACAATAAAACAAAAGCCTGCAATTTCTTCATCGTAAAAATGGTATGTGCACAAAGCCTGATAAAACCGTATTTTATGGAGTCTCAGTTGACATGCTTTTACAAGATTTATGGGCCCACTACTGGTTTGTTGTGATGGGTCTGCTCCTGTTTAACCTAATGGAACGCTGCCAACTCTCAGAAGAACAAAAAAGAAAAGAAGTCCTTATGTGTGACCTCTGAGTGTGATGTGTGAAAAGGTGCTTCACGTTGGAGTAAAGGCATGAGGCTTTTCTCCCTATACGGTTGTTTCTCGAAGGGCCACTCGACTGGAAAGAGGATTACAGAGAGTCCAAAGAGAACAAAAGCACTCACATATGGGCTGTTATTGACTTTATCAACTGTCTCAGGCATATGCACAAAGACCACAGGATGAAGAGGAAAATGTCTTTGAACGTAAGCACAAGGGAAAAAGATTTTGCTGGGATGTAAAAGATGATGTGAAAGCACAACCAGCAAACCCACAGATGCTCTACATTTGGATCATAATTTATTGGTTTTATATTATATATAGAAGCAGATAAAGTATTCAGATTTGACCCAATTGGTCATCATAAAATAATCTGATTTCATGAATGCTGATATGTTTTTGATTTCACCACTTCACCACAGCAGTAACCACTGACTGCTACAATCTCTTCACCTCCACCACCACCACTGCCACAGTAAAGGGCTTTCTTAAACAAATATTCAAAAGTTCCTTCACCTGCTTGACTTGATGTTATTGCTTTGACTGCAAGTTCCACAGGAGAGCAGTAAACTTCACATCCAAGGGAGACATGTGGAGAGGTGACACGGCTTATATTGTGATTGAACAATTAAAGACAGTTGTTTGATGCCACACCATGAAATAGTTCAGGAAAAGGATCGACATCTTCTTGATGAGAGGCTGATTTTTAACCATATTTCCTAAATAGATGTTCTAGAACTGGGTTACCCAAACTATTGTCCTTGAGGATAATCTGTATCAGTGAGCAGAGAGCCAAACGTATTATTTGTTTTTTATTTTTTTGCCTTATGATTGAATTTGTTCCTTGTTAGTTTTATGGTTATAACCAGACATGATTGCATTTTTACCTTCTGTCTTATAGGACCAAATCAAAATGGACTTTTTTCACATCTCTGCACTTCTTCACAGGCTAAACAGACCTACTTTCAGCCTGCGGGGCACATTTTTGGCACTGCTGTTTAAGAATATGTACTAAAGTACAGCACTTGGAAAATCTGTTCAGTGCCTACTCCCACTGTTGATCAGAACAGTCTGTGTTATTTTTTCAGTGGTCGGATGCAGTTGTTAAGCTTGTGTTCTCTGATTATCAGGTTTGCCAGGTTGTTTTTGAGCTCTACAAATGTGTGAGGAATGAGCAGTAAAACAGTGGTTACATGTGGAACATGTGAAACAGAGTGACTTCATGTGGGAATCATTCGTGCAGCTCGTCCTTCCACATCATTGGCTCTCCTCATGTGGCTGACCTAACACTCAAACCAAAGATGTCACTTTTGTTTGAATGTTCGGGGGAGACGACAGTCAATCATTTGATACGTTTTGTCACTAAATGCATGCAATTCGTTACATTTTGGAGCATTTTTAGTAAAACATTTAGTACTTCTCTTGCAACTGTATAAACAGAATGTCCGATTATTTGATAGAACATTCACAAGCAAATTAATGTTATTATAGTAAGCTAAATCCAGTCCTATTACATGCTTTTTGATTATTTACATGACATGACCTATAGGCCTTTGGTAATGTGTAGTATGTTTTGGTAATATTTAGATTTTTACAAACAGCGAATAATTGTTCAAAAAGAGATAATACATATTTTGAATGGAAACGTCTTCAAAAGTTTGCATGTTGCAGGAAGATGAAACTCATTCATTCAGAAAAAGGCTATAATGCCTACTGGAAAACCCTTATAATGGTGGTAAAATAGGAAGGGATATTTCTTAGAAGTGGAGGGCAATAAGGTGAATAAAAATGTGACCCTGTGGCTATAATACTGCTGCACATGAAAGTCAGCACTATTTTCAGTGGAATACTCTCCTCATATTTCACCAGTTGTATTGGAAGAGGAAATGCATGGCATGCAATAAAGGCATTGCATTGCATAATTTAAGAGATAACGATTAACCTACTATGCCTCAGTTTTACAAGTTCACAAGTTAGATCACTGCTTTCAAGGAGGCAAGGGGCCCCCAAAGGTTGTCCACATATTTTATTTTGATTATTACATAACCACAGCCTTTCACAGATTATATTTGGTATGTTAATGTATTTTTATCTCAATTTCAATGGAACACAATTATATTTTGTTCATTTTAATAAGACTCAATATTAGGGTGACCTGAAGATTTCTTTCGGGGCCAAGGCACTTCAGACTTTGGGACCCAATGAGTTCATTTGGTTGAACATAACCTAGCTATATACCTGATCTTTATTAGTTACATGCAGGCTACTCCAATAAACCCTTTTCCTGTAAGACCAGGGGATTGTGTGGATTGAGCTTTTCGAAGCAGCCAGCAGCATCCCTTCTCACCTGACAAAGGCAGAAAAGCTGTCATACATGAGAAAGTTGCTAACGTCTCCCAACTCTGCTGTGTTTATATTGCAAGGTCATGTTACACATATACAACATTTGTCTCGAGGGAGCCATGCTTTATTTCAGTAATGAATGGACCAAAATACAAGAACTATACAGATTGACACATTATCTAAGCTTACTCTGACAATCTTGAGTGATGACATAATTCATGTCCAACAAAATACGCAATGTTACAAATACAATCCAAACTTTGATTGTCAGTGTTCCGTTGTGCATGTAGAGCAGAAGAGGAGATGGAGGATTTTACCTGTGGAGCATGCTCTTGAATCTTTTGTGGGACAACAAGAGATGGATATCTAATACTAAAATAACAGATACCGGCCCTTTAAATATACTATATAAACAACATGAATAACAAGAATAAAATGCAGCAGTGCAGGTCATTTTATTCTAAAAGGGTTTGACCTGCATTACAAAGTTGTGACTGCCCCCATGTGTTCAGCTGTCGCCACTGAAAATAATTAAAGAAGTTGTAAAAAACCTGATTATACACAATATTTCCTCTAATAGGCATATGTAAAAATGTATATGTAAATATGTAGTTTGTGGCAGGTCCTGGATCAGTTATTGCCGTGTGCCAGTCCCTTCTCGACTATCTAGGAATGCCACGGACAGAAATAGCCTGTCCACTATTTCCTAGAGCCCAAAGCCTTCAGGGCTTCACTCGGCCGTATGGACTGAAGACAAGAATGCAAGTTCCACAGCTGTTTTTATGCAAGTGATGTTTTAGTCCAAATTTAAATGTGAATTTTCCAGTTCAAGAGATTATCTGAGCAACCATGATTCTTTTTACTGTAGTATAGGTCCAAATGAGATCTGTGAACTTTGAATAAAAAAAAATATTTGTTTAGAAATAAGTAAAATGCTTATAAAAAGAGAAGACAAATGCATTGCAAAAATTGATGAAGACATTTCTATTAATTGACAGAGAAAAAAAAACTAACATTGACATTTCTTTTATTATTGTTGCTTTGATCAGTGCATCCAGCTGGTTTATGTGAACTTCACACTCAGAGCCAGGTTTATTGGTTGAGAATTTATAAACAATGCAACAACAAAAAAAGACAAATCCATAAAAGAAAAATTGCCAATGGCCAAGAATGAGAGTACAGACACAGTCTGAATAAAAAGTACAAAGACTGCAGGACACCTGGCAACAATTCACCAAAGGATGTTAATCAACTCCTAAAAGTCAGTCTTTGAAAAATGATCTCATCATGATCCAGTGGACAAGTTCAATTATGCCTGGATTGTGCTCTTTGCACTGAAAGCCAAGTAATAGACCAAGATGCCAATAAGTGCTGCCACCACTTCAGTTGAGACCCATGGGCCATTCCAGGCACCCTGCAGAAACAAGAAAGGATTAATGGACATTGATAGAAAACACTTTTTAAATGGAAGTGATTGAGAGGCTTTTTATCCAGAATTATTATTTTCTTAAATCAGAAAATAAATGAAAACAAATTACACACATAACGCATTTGTACCTATGCAGTGTTTAAAAAGAAAAAGTCCTTGGACAGTGTTTTTAGAAAGCTGCCCCTGGTGAATGCATTTATTTATTGATTGAGAGGAGATGATCAGGATGCTGTAGGATTAAAAAAGGCAACTATACAAGCGACTCCACCTGGACAAATTAGGAACTACATTGGCCTTTCAATTGTGGGATGATGAATAGAAATTGGCCAAAGGCTAAATCTCCTGTAGTTCATAAATACACACTGTCCCAATCAAATACATCAATGCAGTGACTACAGAAGCTGGGGTCAGAAATGTCTGGACTATTGTCATCCAGCCACCTGCATGTTATGAGCAAGGTTTACTATTGTGGTTGCAAGAACCTTTCAATCATTTTTTTTTTAGGAATGAAGATTTGCACATCAGTTACTACAGATCGGGTGCGTTGGAGGAGAGGCCTGTAAAGCCTCCAGTTGAACATGGAGAATTATTCCCAAACATTATACTAGCTAAATAAACATTTATTGGTATGTATATGGTTGGATTATTATTTGCTTGATGAAATAACGACAAAACCACTGTCAATTTCGTTTTACAGTTAAGGTCCCGAATTGGGTAAATGGTTAGCCAGAACAGATTTAACTCTAAATGCAATTAATGACAATATAATACTAAATAAAACTAAAAATTACCCGGTGGTCAATGTTGACGGAGAATAGAGGCTGGATTGCAGTCACATCTTCATTATTTCTTTGTGCCTTAAAATAAGAGCATGAAATATATACATTTGTTTAGATGCAATCCACGTTGTGATGACTAAACACCAACCTTGCGCAGAGCACTGTACGATTCTTCATCAAAGAATTTGACTGGATAAGTCCCAGAGGCAGCCTGTTTATGAGGCATGCTCCATGAAACCTGAAAAAAGGAAAATATATGATTTAAAAACAAAAGCATTGAACAAGTGCAAATTAGAATAAAGTAAGATCTTCTATAATCAAGATGAGATGAAACTTTATAGATCTCACCATGGAGAAATGTACAATACGAAACTTACTACAATTATCATTATCAATACCAGGATGGATACAAAATTATTCGTTCCACAGCGGGGAAGTTCAAGTCTCACCTGGTATTTACCCACGTCCTGGCCTCGTGTCACAGGGAACTGTCTACCATTCACATCTGCATACAGGGTCACACTCTGAGGAAACACAGGAGGAGTGTTCGCTGTCATTATCTACTGGGAATAACATACTAATAATACAAATGGTTTACCTGTGCGCCATTGGCACAGCTGAGGCTCAATTCAACGATGAAGACAGACTCTGAGGAGATGACTGCGTCTGATGTGGTGTAGGCCGATGGAGTGATCACAGGGTCCGTGCAGCTCTCTCCTGTCAGAGATCAGAGATTTAATCATGTTTCACCACTTTGGACATCTATGACTACAAGACACATAACGGGCTGAAACATGCTAAAGCAACCAATGAATGAATGAAAGCAGAATTTGACAGATTCAGCCGAGTGACCACAGGCATTAGCAACGAGCTACTAAAAGTCAACAAACTCACTTTACAAAAAAAAAAATCATATTTACCTGAGCAAACAGCCACAAGCAGTGCGAGGAAGGCAGTTATCCGAATCATGGTTGAGCGGAAGATGTCTGTGGTTCCTAAAGAAAAGGTAAATGAGCTTTGAGGAGTCTTCAGCTGAAACAAGTCCACCTCAGCGCAACGTCACAGCGCATGCGCCCCGATGACGTGGACGCTCACACAGCAAAGGATTCTGGGATTGTTAAGTGTTGACCACGTCAGCTATACTAACGCCGACGTTAATAATTCCTCCGACAGCCTCTTAAAGTAGCAATATGTAAGATTTTCATGTCAAGTCATCAGTAAATGGCCCTAATATGCCAAAAGGCATAAATAAACCATGCTCTTTTTGAACACTTCTTTAATTGATAACAGTAGTTCAGCAGAGATGTTAGTTTTACAGCCCCTGTTGTTGTTTTCATGTTGATGTCCCGCCCTCCACAGTTTTACCAATCAGTCTGTGATCTGGGTTGCCACAACCCACCCATAGACTGTATTCACCATGTCGAGCTAAGATCACTGGTAAAGTAACATGTGGCCGCAATATGAAAAAAGTATCGCGATGATTCTCTAATCATAATGAAAAAACAAGGAATAAAACAAGGCTTTCCATCTGTGTGCAAAAGGCATTGGTTATAGATTTGTTTTTGACAAAATTATTGTATATTCAGCTATTATGGTCCCAACTGGATTGGTCTGCATATCTGGCAACATGAGTCAGGGAGAGTGGGAAAGGTTGCAGTACCGCTTTAGGCCAGATTTTTTACATCCATCCATCCATTTTCTTCCCCTTAATCCATTGCTGGGTCGGGGGGGGTGGCAGTCAGAGCTGCAACCAGTACACAGAGCACCAGCCCCTCACTGATCCTCCTGCAGGTGGTGAGTCCACAGGAGGCTAGATTTTCCAGCGGGGGCTTCAGGCAAAGTGGGGTTAAGTGTCTGAAGAGTAATGACCTCAGGTTTAATTCTCAATAAACCCTGACGCATGCAAATATTTGTAGTTTGTAATGTAATTAAATGAGTTTTTTATCCTTCGAGTATCAGCAGGTGTTTCTCTTGTGTATATATTTATTATTTTGTATTATGTAAATGTAACTCAGGGCTCATGCACAATTTTGATATTCTGTTTGTTTCTTGTACACTTATTGCTCAAAAATAAACATGGCTTAGTTTGCTAATTCTTTATCACAGCAGTTTGAGAAACACTGCCAAGACAGAACTGTGGTTCTATGAAGTTTCACAGTTCAATTAAGGACTAAACATACAGTGCCTTGCAAATGTATTCACCGCATTTTGTGTGTTTTGTTGCCTCACAACCTGGAATTAACATGGATTGTTTGAGGATTTGGATCAGTTAATTTACAGAACATGCCCACAACTTTGAAGATGTTGTCTTTTTTTATTGTGAAGCAAACAACAAATAGGACAAAATAACAGAAAAGGTCAATGTGCATAACTATTGTAAACGACTTTTTAGTATTATACTTGTGCGCATGTGTGTTACCTTGTGACCTATGTTTCGCGGGTTTTGGTCCTCTATAAATAAATGGGGACCTCACTTTTTGGGAGTCTCCAACTGCCTCTTTCTGTGTCTCTCATCCCTCTCCCGTTTGGTACGCTACATTGGTGGCAGCGGTGCCGCCGTCGCCACCTGAGTTGATGTAGGTGGTGGTGGCGGCGGTGACGAACATTTGCGCCTTGCTTTTTATGCTTTTTGGTGGGTGACCTGACGGTGCCAGTCGCCATTATGGTCTCGCCATTTTTGTGTTGATGTGGGACTGGAGTGATGGTGTGGCATGTGCTGTTCTGAGGCTCTTCTCGGCCGGGGTGACTGTCAAGGATTGGTGTGTCGCCGGGGGAGACGTTCCAGTACCGGACTGAGCATGTGGCTCTGGGCCGCTGATGTCCAGGATCAGACCGTGTGACCGGGATCCACGGGAATGTGGTTATGCCTGTTGGGGTGCCTGCTGACGTGTATGTTCAAGAGTCTGTAATTCTGGGGTTCCCAGCGTGTCCTACGGTCCCGTGTTCTGGACGTTCAGTCGATTTCCTGTGCTCCGGTCAGGGGAATTCGTGCTCCGGTTCTGTGCCAGTCGTCTACCTGCTGCGGGGAGTCCAGGTTGCTGCAGGATCGCCAGTGTTTGATTCTTGGAGGACGCTGGGACTTTGATGCTGTTTTGTAAATTTTTATGTGTGTGTGGTGCATTTTTTTTTTTTTCAGTTACAGACATGAGGACATGTCTTGTTAAAGGGGGCAAGTATGTAAACGACTTTTTAGTATTATACTTGTGCGCATGTGTGTTACCTTGTGACCTATGTTTTTCGGGTTTTGGTCCTCTATAAATGAATGGGGACCTCACTTTTTGGGAGTCTCCAACTGCCTCTTTCTGTCTCTCTCATCCCTCTCCCATTTGGTACGCTACACTATTCACCCCCCTAAAGTCAATACTTTGTAGAGCCACCTTTTGCGGCAATCACAGCTCCAAGTCGCTTTGGATAAGTCTCTACCACTGGGATTTTTGCCCATTCCTCCTTGCAAAACTGCTCCAACTCCTTCAAGTTGGATGGTTTGCGCTTGTGAACAGCAATCTTTAAGTCTGACCACAAATTTTCTATTGGATTGAGGTCTGGGCTTTGACTAGGCCATTCCAACACATTTACATGTTTCCCCTTAAACCACTGAAGTGTTGCTTTAGCAGTGTGTTTGGGGGCATTGTCCTGGTGGAAGGTGAACCTCCGTCCTAGCCTCAAATCACACGCACCACATCCATCTTTCCCTCAACTCTGACCAGTTTACCAGTCCCGGCTGCTGAAAAACATCCCCACAGCATGATGCTGCCACCACCATGTTTCACTGTGGGGATGGTGTTCTTTGGGTGATGTGATGTGTTGGGTTTGCGCCAGACATAGCGTTTTCCTTGATGGCCAAAAAGTTCGATTTTAGTCTCATCAGACCAGAGCACCTTCCTCCATACATTTTGGGAGTCTCCCACATGCCTTTTCGCAAACTCAAAACGTGCCATTTTGGTTTTTGCTAAAAGTAATGGCTTTCTTCTGGCCACTCTGCCATAAAGAAGAAATCCAGTCTCTGCTGTGGAACTCTGCAGCTCCTCCAGGGTTACCTTAGGTCTCTGTGCTGCCTCTCTGATTAATGCCCTCCTTGCCGAGTCCGTGAATTTTGGTGGACGGCCGTCTCTTGGCAGGTTTGCTGTTGTGCCATGTTCTTTCCATTTGGTTATGACAGATTTGATGGTGCTCCTGGGGATCATCAAAGATTTGGATATTTTTTTATGACCTAACCCTGACTTGTACTTCTCAACAACACTGTCCCTTACTTGTTCCGAGAGTTCCTTGGTCTTCATGGCAGTGTTTGGTTAGTAGTGCATCTTGCTTAGGTGTTGCAGCCTCTGATGCTTTTCAAAAAAGGTGTGTGTATGTACTGACAGATCATGTGACACTTAGATTGCACACAGGTGGACATCATTTCACTATTTATGTGACTTCTGAAGGTAATTGGGCGCACCAGAGCTTTTTATGGGCTTCATAACAAAACTGCGGTAAAGTGGCCCTGCATTTCGTCGGCAGCGGTAAAGAGGTCCGCACTTTGAAAGCGGTTGGCTCCTTTATGCTGTTACTTACGGTAAACGTGGAACGGGAAGCCGCGACGAGAAGCAAGCAAAATGCAATAAAAAACAAAAACAAAAAATAAAAAACATTAAAAAAAGAACAAAAAGAGTTTAGCTAAGACTTTTACTGCACACTTGTTCACGGTGATGCCCTCTACCACTGTGTAAAATATTCACTTTTACTGTAGAAATTTAGAGCTAATTGGGGTCAAAGTGTGCAAAATTGGTCCCAAAAGCACTTTAAAAAAAATCGTTTTAAATAAAAATAAATAAAAATAAAGTGTGCAGTTAAAGTACTTTAGAAAAATTTAAATTGAATTTTAAAAAGTGCTTTTGGGACCCCAATTATCTTTGAATTTCCACTGTAAAAGTGAATATTTTACACAGTGGTAGAGGGCATCTCAGGGAACAAGTGTGCAGTAAAAGTCTTCGCTAAACGTTTTTTGTTCTTTGAGTGTTTTTTTTTTATGGGCTATATGCACGGGGAGGCGTGACGTCCTTTCCTGTTAACAAAGCACAGCCTGTCCACTTCCTGCCTATGCTATCCTATGGAATTTAGTGACGTTTTTTTAGTAATTAGATTGATACATTCAGCTGAGAGACTGACCCAAAAGTGCCGCTGTGCTTTCCCTCTGAGGTAGAGCTTTGACTGTGGCCACTAAGAGAGAGTTGTAAACTTTATAAAAACACAATGACAGCACAATCAGAGAGCACTGTTGTGTCCCAAAAATGCCCAGTATCCTCAGTTTAATTCCCGTTTGAGCATTATTTGGGAAACTCGTGTAAACCACTGCTGAACTCCAGTGAAACTCAAGCAGTTTCCCGCGAACAGGAAGTGAAGTGGGGCTTTAGCTAAAACGCGGAAGTGGTGCGTGCATAGAGCCTGTCACTCCCATATTCGTCCCGGAAACCGGATTCGTCCGGAAGTTCAGTTTGATCCAATGAGCACAGGCAGCAGTAGATTACGTCACGGAATCTGGACGGAAGCGGAAGTAAATATAAAAAACTACCTATTCATGCCTAAACTTAACCAGCCATTCCCATAAAATAACCCCAACCCAGCCTTAACCCTAAACTTAACTATCTTAATCAGACGCCTAAACTTAACCAGTCACCACTTAAGGACATATTAAACTTTTTGACATGCGCAAACTGAACTTCCGGACGAATCCGGTTTCCGGGACGAATCCGGTTTCCGGGACGAATCCGGGAGTGACAGAGCCCATTGCATTTTGCTTGTCTCTTGTCGCGGCTTCCCGTTCCACTTTTACCGTAACAGCATAAAGTAGCCAACCGCTTTCAAAGTGCAGACCTCTTTACCGCTGCCGACAAAATGCAGAGCCACTTTACCGCGGTACAAGGGGGTGAATACATATGCACATGCCAATTTCCAGTTTTTTTATTTCCGAAAAAGTTTTATGTATATATTTTTCTCAATTCACTTCACCAGACTTTTGTTTTCTGATCCATCACATGAAATTCAGATAAAAAAAACAACATTGAACTAAAAGGCTGTAATGTAACAAAATAGGTAAAAAGTGAATACTTTTGCAAGGCACTGTAGAGCTCCAGTAATCTTATTGTTTGTCAAAAATGTTTTTGGTCTATCATTTAGAAGTATTAACAGTCTCATCCCATTTAGTTATAATTCAGACCTAGGAAGTCCCATTATATACCCTGTTTAGATAGCAAATGTGAAAGGAGGGGATCTGAAGATACAATTTAAAACCTTAAGACAAGTTTGACATTAAACAATGAAGCAAATTTGTATACCAAATATAAAATGTTGTACAATGATACTACAATCAAATGATAAGTTTAATTCACATAATGCAGATTGTTTGAAGTTTCAAACATTTTGACTGATTAATTTCACATGGATTTTTTTTAAACATTTCAAGTATTCCAGTTTTGTGCGTTTCTTGCACAAGGATCAAAGTGCTTCTAGGAAGGTGGACCCCTGGTGTCAAAGTGAGAAGTCAATGCTCTGTGATCTCAATCGTCCAAGAATACATGTGCTGAAAGTGGCTGTCAGAGCAGACATCTTACACCCTGTTTACATTTGCATCATCCTCCTTGACATTGATGAGTCCAGCTCTTCACTGCAGAGGGTCAGCAGACTTAAAGAAGCTCACTCCTCTTCCCCTACGCACGTCTCGCCTCCCTTTCTTTTGGAGGGCAGAAGGAGTGGAGGTGGTCAGGGGTTGATCCTGTGAGGCTTGTCGAGTAAGAAGCTCCTTGAAGACAGAGTCCATCTGGCGACAAACTTCCTGTTTGGATGACAGAGAAAAAATAAAAATAAACGATGAGAAAGGAATAGAAGTTTGAGGCAAACCTGCCCTGTGGCAGACCGACAAAATTGAGGCAACTAATCTGTGCCATCTTGTCGTCTGACCACCACCAATCACACATATAGGCAGTCTGGGTGAAGAGTCTTCCCTAAGGACCAGAGTTTACAGCCAACCCCGAGTCCCCTGGTGTTCCCAGAGGTCTCCCATCACAGTACTAACCAGGCCCTGCCCTGCCCTGCTTATTTTCTGCGATGTGACTAGATTGGTCTTTTGCATTGCGGCTTTGAAATAAAGTTTCACATTTTCAAAGTCATCCACATTTTCCCCCTTTGCCCAGTCCTTGTTTAGAATATCTGAAGCATATGTGTGGTTTGGATCTGATAATACTTTTCATTTGAAAGGTTTCACTGTTCTACATTTTGGATGCGTATTACAGTGTGTGTTTTCACCTCGTCTATCTGTACGATATCCTCACTGGATTGGCTTTCATGCACCCTGTAATAAAAAAAGTACACAATAGTTTGCAACCCATACCACAGCTTAAGAGACTTGTCAATTTGCGCGACTTACCCTCTGCGTACATAGCGCGGAGACTGGACCAGTTTTGTTTTGCACTGAGGTCCTACTGGAATTTGAAGTAATTTTTCACTTAAAGCGATGATGCCCCCTGTCGACTCTGTGGCCCACTTGCTCTGCTCAGAAGCGGCAAAGCTGTTGGCTCTTGGTCTCTCAGCCTTTTTCTGAATTGACAAAGAATAACGCTCCTCAACTGAGAGACCAACATCGTGATCTATTGAGAAGAAAATCCATTTATTTCTGTTTCAGCAGCTAAGAATGCACAATGTATCCTAATCTCATAACATACCTGGTGATATTTCTGCCACTTCTCCCTCCTCTTCCGGAACAGGTTCACTGAAAATATTGATTCATTACTCTCACATTATAAATATTTTTTTTTAGTAGCCATAATTAGCCACATGCAAAGACAGCAATTATTCACATAACATTTCTTTTATAAGCTGCAAATGATCTTGTGGCATATTAAACAAATTTAGCTATTCCCATGTTTAGAACTATGAAACAGGCAAGAATAACCACAAATTAAATTAAAACTGAAACCTGGATTTGTCTATTTAAACTCATTTCAACATCTTATTTTTCCCCCAATCATAAACATCACAATTAGACGTTTTTTTAAAAACTGTGCAGCCTTACATATATTGGACGACAACATTTGCATTTGTAACCGGCTTTCTTACCACCCATCCTCTTCAGTCATGCATTTCTCATACATGGGTCCTGGGACTTGGTCTTGACTGGGGAAGATGGGCTCATGCTGGAGGATGATGCTCTTCACAAGGTCGTTGATCTGGGGCTGCAGCGTGACCACGTCCTCCTCGCTGGCTCCACGCACGAGACTCGGGCCAAAACACACGGCCAGATTGTACGGCTGCATCATGTTCTCGTCACTGTACTGCGACACACTGTGGTCACCCAAAACACATGCAAGTTGCAGTACCCCACTTCCAAATCACAAAAGAATAACTATGGTAAAATCCATGTGACTTGTTCCTAGCTCTCACAATAGAACCAAACGAGATTTTACATTACAATTCTCTTGTTCTTCCATATTTAAGTTATGGAGTTGAATTATGGGGAAATAATTATCGATCGAATGTTAGGCTCATATTCGTACTTCAAAAAAAGGCCATTAGAATAATCAATCAAGCAGATTTTTATGCCTCAACAAATCCGATGTTCATCTCATTAAATACCTTAAAAGTGCACGACATTGTTGACTACAATATATTGATTGTCATGTACACGGCATTTAACAACCTTAGTCCACCTTGTATCCAGAAACATTTTAAACTAAGAAAGTCTGTTCAGCCTTTGGGGAACTGGTTATTTAAAAAAGGACTGGGCAAGAACAAACATAAAAAGTAGATGTGTCTCAGTGAGTGGAGTCACGTTATGGAACAAACTCGACCATTTAAAACCAGCGAAAACATTGCAATTGTTTAAAAGGGGAATTAAATCCAAAATTGTTGATAAATACAGAACAATGGTCTGAATGTTTGTAACTTGGCTATAGGCTAAACCTTTGTTTCCTTTTGTTACTCATTGTCACTGGACGTTGCTGATACTGTATCAGCTAGTATATTTTGTATTCCTATGGAAACGATCCGTTTCCTTGTACTGGAGTCAGGCGAAATAAGTTTAACTTCAGCCTGAACCCTTCGGTCGCATATTATAATTCTGTTTTGTTGACAGTTAACTAACTTTGTTTCTCATGCTTGACCGAATAAACTACTACTAATACATACATCAATTTTTTATGCGATCTACAGATTTTACATCAGACAGAAAAGTTAAAAAAACTAATGAGCAAGGTGAAAGGAACACAATTGAGCAAGTTGTTATGAATGATTTGCAATAGTCAAGCATGGTTCACTTGGTCTTCTGATAAATAATCCAATTATTAATGAATAATTTGCACTTACTGATGAAGGAATGCAAAAAGGTATCTCATGACAACAATGATGGGCTCTGGGTAAGAGACAACAACAGTTTTAAACTGAGCTGCTCTTTCAGTGTCGTTCTTTATTTCTAGGGGAAAAAACAAGCAATGTTTCATTCAGTAATTAACTGATTTAAGTTTCCATCACATACTCACGGGCGTACTCCAGTAGTTGGCCTGTACTATCAACAGGGAACAGTGGATTCTTCAGACTTCGAAAGTACAGCTTCAGAACTCCAGCCACTGAGTCCAAGTTGTATCTCTGCTCAGTCAGAGGGTCTTCTCCTGAAGCAGAACACCATTGCCCAACATTATTAATGCTCAACCACAAAAACCTCAACACAATAATGAAAAATTACCATTACATCGTACCATTCTCAAATGCATCCCTCAGGCTGTTTACTTCCATTTGGGAACCAGGGACCCGAAATATTCCCTCATGGTGAAGGCCTAGTATACACATATTTTTGTTATTCATGGCCTCATCAAAAATCGTATTTATTTATTATATATACACAACCATACCATTCAGATTGATAAAGCGAATGCAGCTTTCAACAACTACTGGTATCTGTTGCCCAGATGCCTGGATGACAAAAGGGATAATTACAAAAATCATTCAAAACAAATAAATACACTAGATAAATAAATTACCTTTATGAAAGACAGCATGTCTCCATTAAAAAGTTTCTGATCATGCATCAGATTTGTACTGGAAAGATTCTTCCTTACACGAAAGGATTTGTGTCTGCAATGTAATTAATGAATAAAATAAATGTTAAGGATTATTTAAAATATAAAACTCACACAAAATTAACTACAGTACCTCGGTGGATGTCCGTTTGTGGCTTCAGCTAAAAATAAAGAAAGAGGAAATAACAAAAAAGTTCTGCTGCAAGCTCTTTCCTTGCACAGTTTGTTCATATTATAGATTTACCTTTATCCAAGGCCACTTTTAGCAAGTCATGTTTGGCTTGCAGTTTAGATACAAGGGAACTGTTCACAAGGAAGTCTTTCACTCTCTGGAACAAAGTAGAAAAGTAGAGTACGAGTCGACATGATTACATTGAAAGCAGCAGCTGACCATGAAGTAGAGGGTCTCCAGCTCCTGTAGGTTAGCTTTACGACGGGCCACACTGGGTCGTACTGAAACACTCTCTGAGCTATTCTCCTGGGTCCCAGCACTGAGCTCCAGCTCATCCTCACACATACAGTCTATCAGCACCGACTTGGCCGCACTCACACTTTTACTGGCCTGGAAAACAGCATAGAGCAATCACTAAGTATGTTGAAGAGGAAAAAATCAGCGTATCATTTTTGAAACAATAAAATCTTTATCATTATGATTCTTTATAGTATGCTTTCAGTAAATGTGCATCATGTACCTCCTCTGTCTCGTCAGTCACTGCTTTTAGCCTGGTCTGGATCTGTTTGAACCTGGTGTCGAGCTCACAGATCATCTCACTCTCTGCACTCACTTCTGTCACCTGGACACGAAGATATTTTTAAAAAGGATGCAGTAAAAACTTGACTTGGAACTTTGGCTGCATCCAAAGTCTGCAAATACAGACTTCATCATACTTTAAAATGGACCTTTCATGAGACAGGTTTGGTCAATTGGTCAAGACAAACATTTAAAGATGTGTTTTATATTAAAAGGTTCATAAGTGTGAGAGAGAAGGACCTGGTCTCCATCATGGGGCTGATAGGTGAAGCGCAGGGGCAAAGAAAAGACGTTGTAGTGGTCTTTGAGGAGGGCGTCCCGGTCGTGGCACTGGTCCAGGTCAGACACAGCTCCTTGAATCTGCTGGAGTCCTGTCGTGAGGTTCTGTTGGGCTCTTCTCTGACTGGAGAGGAAGGCTTGCATCACCCTGCTCAGAGTAAGATGGTACCCTGTGTCTGCGCACTGTGAAGGATAAAATGCTAGTTCTTATCAAGAGAGATTGTATTTTTAAATTCTACTTCTGCAAAGTGAACGCTGATGATGACCGCAAAACACACAATACTTCTCTTATTTAAAAATGTATATCTTCTTACGTCCCAGTAATTTCCACAGAAGTTCATGATTGCACATCAAAAAAAGAATGAAATAAACCCATTTTCAAACAAACAGACTATTCAATAGAACCAAACTATTTAGAGCATGAGGATCTAGTTGGATGGATTCTATCACTTGTTTTCACTTTGTACTTTTTCTGACATTTAAGTTTTACAAGTATGCAAAGATAACAATTCTGACTATTCTAACAGTAACTATTTAACACATTAGGATAGTGAATTGTTCACAGCATTTCACTTTTACAAGACGCCCTCTGTTGAGTCAATGGCAAAAGGTACATTATCAAAGTTTGGTATCCCAGCTTTATCATTTACTGTAATTGACAGGGTCAGTGGAGAGCTGTATATCATAGTGGAAAGCACTGGGGGAATCCATAGCACAACCACAAACAAAGAATTCTGTATGTGTGACACAAACGAGAGGAACTCACGTCTATAAGAGTAGAGATGTCCTGGAGATAGTACTTATTCATGGAGCCGTTGGCTGCAGAAAGGTTCAGAAGGTAATCATTTCTGGCCTTACTGCACTTCAAGTAGATATCGTTTACCTTGATTTGCCTCTATTCAAAATAATTGTTAAAAGAAAAACATAAGTGGAAGATCAAAAAAAGAGCAGCTCTAAAACTGAAACAACTATGTCGCACTTTTTCTATCAAGCGCTCCAGTTTTTTTCCACCAGTCTTGTGTTTCTCTTGTTTCTCTGCCTCTTTTAGCTTCCCCTCTGCGCTCACATAGTCAGAGTAGTATTGGTAATATGTCCGCCAGGCCTGCACCAAGAACAAGGAGTTAGTTTGTCTTGAGGAAATGCGAAAATGCTCAGATGGTTTCCTTCACACTTACGGTTTGCATCTCAGTGGTGACTTTGAGGAGGCCATCTTGCAAGTTTGTGCAAATGTCACGACTCTGAGAGGCAAAAACATCAGTAGGCCAACAATAGTGAGGATTCAAAACTATCGTGTTCCATTTACCTAATTATAAATCTGATTATAATGACGGTTTTAGTGCACAACACCACATACATCTTCAGTAGATTAGGCCAATACAACAGTCCAATGCTAAAGCTGGCTTCCTCGTCCTTAAATTATAACCCACAATCAAAATTAACTAAGTAATATAATCCATTTAGTTCCTTACCATCAATAGTTTTCACACATGAATTTTCAGTCTTTGAAAAAGCTAAACTAAATAATACCACCCTCACTCAGCCAATCGGATCTCTCCCCAAAGCATCAAATAATGACTCACTGGGGCTAAGTATTCAAAAGATCAAATGTTCTCTAAGATGAAGACAGCATGTTATGTCTTTTGGGCGGATACAAGTTTGGCACCAAAGCTTTAAGTGACTACCAGTTACCTTTTTAGCAAGACGCTGTGTGTACTCCAGGCAGTGGCCGAGGGGCTGAATAATGAAAGTGCTGCAGGTCTCACTCAGAGTGCTGTGGTCTTTACTTTCTTGTCGAGTTTGTGACAGAAGAGCAACCCAGCTTTTGCTCACTGAATGAATGCCAGGGTCTTTTCTATGAGACAGTTGAAAATAATAAAAGCCAATACAAGCAATATTATAAACCAGAAATTACCTTCTGATCCTTGAAATGAATCTCTCTGCGAGTTTGTCAAGTGATCTGGCATATTCACTTTCAATCTCTCCTCTTCTTCTTAGATAATCTGTGAGGTCCTGAAGTTGTTGGCACTTCTGTTCGAGCTGCAGGTCCAATACTTTGAGCTGGTCTACAAGCTGGCATCGCACCTCTGCCAGTGAAAACCATGTCAAACATTGAGATCAAACGTGTTTTTCTACAGAATGGACAGACACCACTGTATGACCATATTGACCATTGTGGAGGATTACCTTTGATTTGCGTGTCGTAATCCACTATTCCAACCTTGTCTTTTCGTTTTGTGTGGGAAGTCATTGTTTTCTCACTGGGGTGAAATTCTGTGTAAACATTTTTATCATGCCTTACAATTTTTACAACTCCATGCAATATGCTGCTATACTATTGAGATAATCCACATTAGACAGGGCAGATAAAATAAATTACATATTAAAAATCACCTAACCAATCAAATAACATCCCCTCACCTCAGAATTAAAAAGCACTCATTCATCTTACTGTAACACATGTCGTGAAACTCGCCCTTCGTTGTTGTGTTCTTGCTAAACAACTAGCAGTTGGCATGTGCTGCCCTCTGTGCTGGCTACCCTGACTGACTTTCATGGCAACCCAAAATAGATCTAGTAACATCAACTTTAAATAGACTAAACCCCATGCCATATGGCATGAGTTTGTTGTAGAAGTTTTATTAATATAATTGTCAAAGCTTATGAGGCCATGTGCTGCTACACGGACCAAACTGCATGTCAAAACTCTTCAAAGTAGAATTCTGATTGTCTACTTATTGAATCATCTCTAAAGGGTTTTGGAAAAGTAGTTACGTTACGGATTAACCCTATGTATTTTAATGTGTTAGTTTGAATAGAAACTGTAAGAAAAAGGGAAGAGTTGATCTTTACCCTTTGTACACTTCACTCTCCTTTTCCTCCTTGACTTCCCCTTTTTTGAGCAGTAAATATGTTATCAGCATTCTACTAAACACAACCATTGTCACTTGTTCCATTTCGCAAAAGTATTAGCAAAGAATTCCAGTAAACAGTTTATTTCAAAACTCCCTTCATCACAACTCATTCTTCTTCAATGTGATCAGCCATGAATCACATTACAAAACATGTACAAAGTTATTTTTGGATTCTGACAAGCACCAACAGGAGTCAACAATTTTCGCCAGAGGGAAATTTGTGCAATCTTACATGAATTAAACTAGAAAATCTCTAACATTGTTACAGTAAATTAGGTTGAGTACTATTCAGAGACCATAGAAAGTATTCAGTTTATGGTACAATTAAAAAGAAGAGATTAATAAGATATTTAAGATTGTTTACCTTATGAGCAGAGGTGACTTGTGTCCTCTCCAGACAAGAGGCAAGTATAAAATGCTGGTTATTGTCACAGTAAGCTCAACTGTTCCTCCTCCCCCTCAGTTTGGACACGGATGGATGTGGGTGGAGTGGTGCTCATCTCTTGTCTTGTGTCTTTCACACTGTGGCACCACTCTCCCTCTCTCGCAACACCCTTTCACGCTCATTTAAAACCGTGACATTGTATAAGGAAGAACTAACTTTACCTCCAGGCCTGTATAGTCTGTATAGCAGTGTTGCCTGCTGCAATCAGACAGCAGCTGTTCCTGCTGATTAGTCCCTGGCCACACACAGCTGCCACCTCCTCAACCCTGTCACATCTCACAACACGATGGCTCACCACGGAGTAGATTGGTAACATTAGTACAAGTTAGTGGTCAGGACAGTTATGGCGTCTCAAAACCTCAGCAGCTGTTTTGCATGCAACGACCTATGTGTGATTGACATTTGACAGCTTTTAAGAGTGAAACTTGAGATTATGTGTGAAGTGTTGGCATCCAAATTGTTTTGTTTCCACAATATGAAAACGTCTTAAAACAGCAGTAACTTGTAACTAACGGTTATACTGTTCTTGTGATTTTTGGCAAGACAAACATAAAATGATTTGATGAAATAAGAATGGTTTGTTATTGTATGGTGGAGAGTGTTTAACTGTTGAAAAGTATTCGTACTGACAAAATGACTATATGCATTTAAAAGCAAATTAATGTGGATCATAGGTATTTGGTCACCTACAAACAAGATTTCTGGCTCTCACAGAGTGTAACTCCTTCTGTACGAGGCTCCTCTGTCCTCCACTCGTTACCTGTATTAATGGCATCTGTCTGAACTCAGTATGAAAGACACCTGTCCACAACCTTACAGTCACACTCCAAAACTCCACTACGACCAAGACCAAAGAGCTGTCAAAGGACACTTGAAACCAAATTGTAGACCTGCACCAGGCTGGGAAGACTGAATCTGCAATAGGTAAGCAGCTTGGTGTGAAGAAATCAACTGTGCGAGCAATTATTAGAAAAAAGAAGACATACTGATAATCTCCCTCAATCTGGGGCTCCACGCAAGATCTTACCGCATGGAGCCAAAATGATCACAAGAACGGTGAGCGAAAATCCCAGAACCACACGGGGACCTAGTGAATGACCTGCAGAGAGCTGGGACCAAAGTAACAAAGGTTACCATTAGCAACACACTACGACGACAGGGAATCAAATCCTGCAGTGCCAGACGTGTCCCCTGCTCAAGCCAGTGCATGTCCAGGCCCGTCTGAAGTTTGCTAGAGGGCATTTGGATGATCCAGAAAATATAACTTTTTGGAGGAGAAAGAACACCATATACCTACTATGAAACATGGGGGTGGAAACGTCATGCTTTGGGGGTGTTTTCTGCAAAGGGACCAGGACGACTGATCTGTGTAAAGGAAAGAATGAATGGGACCATGTATTGTGAGATTTTGAATGAAAACCTCCTTCCATCAGCAAGGGCATTGAAGATGAAACGTGGCTGGGTCTTTCAGCAATGATCCCAAACACACTGCCAGGGCAATGAAGGAGTGGCTTTGTAAGAAGCATTCCAAGGTCCTGGAGTGGCCTAGGCGACCTCAACCCCATAGAAAATCTTTGGAGGGAGTTGAAACTCTGTTTCCCAGCAACAGCTCCAAAACATCACTGCTCTAGAGGAGATCTGCATGGAGGAATGGGCAAAAATACAGCAACAGTGTGTGAAAACCTTACAGAATACTTGCAGAGGAAGTTTGAGCTCTGTTATTGCCAACAAATGGTAATTACAAAGTATTGAGATTAACTTTTGTTATTGACCAAATACTTATTTTCCACCATAATATGCAAATAAAGTCTTAAAAAATCAGATGAGAATTGCGGGCCTCCCTCATCTTTTTAATTAGTAGAACTTGCACAATTGGTGGCTGACGAAATACTTTTTTGCCCCATTATATATATATATATATATATATATATATACAGTGGGGAAAAAAGTGTTTAGTCAGCCACCAATTGTGCAGGTTCTCCCACTTAAAATTATGACAGAGGTCTGTAATTTTCATCATAGGTACACTTCAACTGTGAGAGACAGAATGTGAAAAAAAAAAATCCAGGAATTCACATTGTAGGATTTTTAAAGAATTTATTTGTAAATTATGGTGGAAAATAAGTATTTGGTCACTTCAAACAAGGAAGATCTCTGGCTCTCACAGACCTGTAACTTCTTCTTTAAGAAGCTCTTTTGTCCTCCACTCGTTACACCTGTCCACAGCCTCAAGCAGTCAGACTCAAAACTCCACGATGGCCAAGATCAAAGAGCTGTTGAAGGACACCAGGAAAAGAATTGTAGACCTGCACCAGACTGGGAAGAGTGAATCTACAATAGGCAAGCAGCTTAGTGTGAACAAATCAACTGTGGGACCGGACGGGATCAGTCCCAGGCTGCTGAGGACCTGTGCAGACCAGCTCTCTGAGGTCCTCAGCTACATGTTCAACCTGAGCCTCAGCCTGGAGAAAGTCCCTGTCCTGTGGAAGACCTCCTGTGTGATCCCGGTTCCTAAAATAGCGCATGCCAAGGAACCGGCTCACTACAGACCAGTCGCACTGACCTCCCACCTGATGAAGACAATGGAGCGGCTCATCCTCACCCATCTCCGCTCCGTGGTCAGCCCCACCCTGGACCCGCTGCAGTACGCCTACAGGCCCAACATCGGAGTAGAGGACGCTGTCATCTACTTACTGCAGCGGACGCTCTCCCACCTGGAGCCCGCCGGGAGCGCTGTGAGGGTCATGTTTTTTGACTCCTCCAGTGCTTTCAACACCATCAGACCGGCACTGCTGCGGGGGAAGATGGAGGACGCGGGAGTGGACAGTAGCCTCACTGCATGGACCATCAACTACCTCTCAGACCGACCACAGTATGTGCAGCTGTGAAGTCTGAGGTGGTAGTCTGCAGCACTGGGGCCCTTCAGGGCACTGTCTTCTCACCGTTTCTCTTCACCAGCTACACTTCAGACTTCACACACGACACACACAGCTGTCAACTGCAGAAGTCCTCCGACGACTCCGCCGTCGTGGGCTGTGTGTCTGAGGGGAACGAACTGGAATATTGGTCGGTTATCACAGACTTTGTCGACTGGTGCGAGCGCAACCACTTGTGCTTGAACAGGAGATGGTCATAGACTTCAGGAGAAAACCACTTTCCCACACGCTGCTGAACATCCAGGGGGAGGACATTGAGCTGGTGGACAGCTTCAAGTACCTGGGTGTTCACATTAACAATAAACTGGACTGGTCTCATAATACAAACGCCCTGCACAAGAAGGGCCAAAGTCACCTCTTTCTTCTGAGGTGGCTGAGGTCCTTCGGAATGAGCAGGCCTCTGCTCAGGACTTTTTATGACTGTGGTAGCCTCAGCCATATACTACGCTGCCGTGTGCTGGGCCCCGGGCAGCACAGAGCGGGACCGGAGCAGACTGAACAAGCTGGTCAGGAGGGCCAGCTCCACTCTGGGCTGCTCCCTGGACTCTGTGGAGCAGGTGAGCGACAGGAGGGTGCTAGCCAAAGTCACCTCCATCATGGACAACACGTCCCACCCACTGCACAGGACTGTAGAGGAGCTGAGGAGCTCCTTCAGTGGAACAAGGAGCGCTACCGCAGGGCCTTTATCCCCATCGCTGTCAGACTGTACAATAAGTCACTGCACTACTATTGACACGCATTGCCACTTTTGTACATAATGTCCTGTTAGCACATTTCTTACTTTTGCAGTGTTTCTATCCATGCCAAACGTGACAATACAACACGTGACTGCAGGGAAGGCCTACATGGAACAGATGTACAGGAACATCTGTGCCGAGTATGGGCTGGAAACCCCAAGGTCGAAATGGGAAAATCCTCCAAAGGTGATGGAGAATGAGTGTGTGAAGATCCTGTGGGACTTCCAGATACAGACCGACCGAATGGTAATGGCGAACCAACCTGACATCGTGGTGGGAGACAAAGGGCAGAGGAAAGCCGTGGTTACCATCCATCCATCTTCTTCCCCTTAATCTATTTCTGGGTCGGGGGGGTGGCAGTCAGAGCTGCACCCAATTCACTTAGCACCAGCCCCTCACTGATCCTCTGCAGGTGGTGAGTCCACAGGAGGACGGCTGCTCTGTCAGTGACAATACAGCCTTGATTTTTCACCGGGGGCTTCAGGCAATGCAGGGTTAAGTGTCTTGCCCAAGGACACAACGACAGCAGTCATCAGTGGGAGTCGGTGGAGAAGGTCCCGTGGTGGGCTTGAACCCACGACCTTCAGGCTCAAAGGCCAGTGCTCTACCAACTGAGCTACTGTCGCCCTAAGGTTACCATCAGGAAAAAATGAGCATGAGGGCCGGGGTGGTAAAGGCGAGGGTAGGAGGCAGTAATCCACAAACGAGTGGAAGAATGGTTACAGCAGTCATGGAACGACTTCACAAATCTTGGTTCAGAAATGTGCAGTGCTCGGAAGAGCAAAGATAATGCGCAGAACCCTCGCGCTCCCTGGCCTCTCGCAAACACAAACTAAGAGAGGGATAACTACTGGCGGAGAAATTAACGTTATATATATTCTTTTTAAAGTATAATTGTTCTACATCCACATGATTTCAGTATTTCTTTTAACAGTGCACATTACAAATTACAACTCACTAAAATCTGTTTACTTCCAAACATTTTACTTAAAACCAGTTCAACATTTAGATAGATCACTTTAATAAAAAACAAACATTTGTATGTTTAGAGGTTTTATTTTGATGGTAATTAACCTGACTAATTTGAACGGTTCATTTTCAATATCAAAATTGTCTCTGAACTTTCAGTCGCACGTACAGCATGGCAATAAAAAGGGATATAATGGAACACCAGAGCTATCAAACCAAGAAAATATGTAGCAGACATAATATTGAGAGCAACCCTCCATAAAAGGTCCAGGATAAAAAGATGGCGTGCAGAGGAATTTTAAAATGCCTATTGATCTACATCATTGTGAATCAGATGAAGAATCCTTGACGTCTGTGCTTTCTGTTGCCTCGCTGACTTCACTCAGCTCTTTGCTTTCTCCTCCACTGTCTCTTTCTCCTTCTCGCTCTTGATCTCCAGATCCAGAGGGAAATTGGCCGGACGGCACCTCATGCCCCGACACTTTAACACCACATTTTCTAAGCTGGAAAAAATATTAAAAAGAACATTGTTTAAAACCACAATCCTTGCGATCAATCAAGTTTATCAAATCATTAAATAACAAAAAAGCTTTGACAACAATTTTACAGCCTCAATAATTCACATGTTTGTTCTCATGACTTGAAGAAATATTATGCATTGGTTTTGGTCATTGAAAACATAAAATGTTAAATATCTGAAACAAGCATGAAGGTCACAATAAGATTTTTCCGCCTGTAATTCCCAATTATATCATATTATTAGACAACTGAGACAGGAGCTTTTAGATAGAAGGGGCGGTGTTTGTTCCTGTCTCAAAAAACAACTCCAGGTCTGTTTTTGATGAGGGAACAATGTTGTACATGGGTATAAGCTCACAATAGTTTTGATTTTGCATAATATGTCTCCTTTATAAGCAAATACAAGTATGGATATAGTGAATAGACAACTAAAATAAATTGATAGCTGCAGCCCTACCTACAATTTGGTTTGGTACCTCATCAGACATGTGTGCCAGGTCTCTCTTCATGGCATAAGCATCCTCTCCATCAGCATAATACTTGGGCTCCACTTCACTAATTCTGAAAGGCATTATCGTTTTATTTACAGCCTAATTTATATTTATAAATAATTCCCCACATGTGAGAAAGGAGAAGTCCACAAAACAGTACTTACTGGAATTTGAGTGTGTTTGAATATAGATGTAAGGCTGCCCGATTACTAAAGGGGAAAAAAACAATACAATAAATGAGCAGTTCAGACAAAGTTGACAGTGCCTAGAGAACATTGGATGTACCTTTTACGGACATGAAGTGAGACATATTTTGCATTGAAATTTTCAATCATGGCGCGGCTTGCCTGGTCCATCAGTTTCTGAGCCAAGCCCAGTCTTCTGTGAGAGCGCTTTACTGCCTGAATAGGGAATTTAAAAAAAACAATCTCTGATATGACAGTAGATGAAAATGGTGGAGGTATGGTCTGTTGCCTATCCAGACTCACCAGAGATGTGATGTGACCATGGGGTACATCATCAGGATCTTCTTCCCTACAACAGACGAGAAGAGAATATTTAAGTCAAACAATTCATATTATGTAATGTATGTAATGTTAATGTTCGCAAGAAAACATAACTTACATCTTAGCTAGTACATATCCAACTATTTTTCCATTCTCGTCTTCTGCGATGTAGGACAGCTACACATTTCATAAGAATGTCAGCAGTCATGTTGATGACAGCACAAAGAAAAACGTGGATTACTCACCTGAGGCCAAGAAAGTCCGTGGTAGAAATAATATTTCATCTGATAGTTTTCAGGAAGACACAGCAGATTGCAGTGCTGCATGTTCATAAGGTCCTCTGGCTGCGGGGACATATGAATTCACATGGATCAGTAAAAGTCCCTCAGGCCGGTCATATTGGATGGGCTAACATGATGTTGGATGGGCTAACATGATGTTGGATGGGCTAACATGATGTTGGATGGGCTAACATGATGTTGGATGGGCTAACATGATGTTGGATGGGCTAACATGATGTTGGATGGGCTAACATGATGTTGGATGGGCTAACATGATGTTGGATGGGCTAACATGATGTTGGATGGGCTAACATGATGTTGGATGGGCTAACATGATGTTGGATGGGCTAACATGATGTTGGATGGGCTAACATGATGTTGGATGGGCTAACATGATGTTGGATGGGCTAACATGATGTTGGATGGGCTAACATGATGTTGGATGGGCTAACATGATGTTGGATGGGCTAACATGATGTTGGATGGGCTAACATGTAGCTTCAACAGCATGGCTTTCGGAAACATATCATGCTACTTACCCGCGCGTTCCTAATGTTCATTTTGATTCCTTATTTGTTACTTTAAAATAATGACAGTAAATTTGATCACTATAAACAGTTAGTTCATGTTAACAGCAACTGTGATGTTTGTTATGACTTGTAGAATCGATGCTCGCTAAAAGCTGCTAGGCTAAGGAGGAAGAGCTAACAAAAGGAGCTTCCTGTTTGAGTGAAAAACTCAAATTCAAAATAAAAGTCTCGAAACTTAATTTGAAGTTCCTCACTATGTAACTTTGATCTTCGTGTAATCTGTATATATTATTATTGAAAGTAATAGATTAAGTTAATTTGAAGTGTCATTCAATGAGTGAAATCAGTTTTCTACAGTGCCTATCTCAGGATGTATGTCTTATCAATAAATTACATCTGTGACTTGACTCTTTATCTTTGCATCATATTTTCCTTCTTTTTCCCTCTGATCAGAAAGAGTCTTGTGCACGTCATTCTTCTCCTCATGGCGAGGGACTTTAACACTACGTGCGGTTATATTTATGATTCTGTTTTTATAGTGAGTCACAAAGCGTTTTACACTTGTTGTGGGCCTTTTCTCTTCTCACTCCACACAGTGCTTGAATTCCGGAGCTTTTGCAAATGATTTTAGGGGGGAAAAGAGCACGGGGAGAACATGCACAATTCCACCCCGATACTAGACCGATCTAGACGTGGGACTGAACCCCGGACCTCCTGTGAACTACTGCGCCATCGCACTGCTACATAGGCCTATGATAAATGTTTTATATTTCAATATGTAATCGTGTGTGTCTGTTTCATTGCATGCATGGAATAACTCATGGCCATGACTGATTCACCGATGTATTTGGATTTGCACAAGTAAACCCCACGCTACATCACAGCTGATGGAAAGCTTGAAAAGTCGTATTGTTGTTTTGAGACAGTATTATTTTGTTGTTACATTTGTAAGGTGCTCGCCAGGTCTAGTCATTTCACTGATGCATAGTGTATCTTTTCTCATTCACCATGGTTTATTCCTCTCACACCCTGCTACGTCATGTTGCAGGTGTCACTTGGGAGGCACCCAAGGAAACCAAGGCATGTTTGAAACAACAGCTATCCTCCTGTGGACTTAAACACAGATACTGCATCTTCTGTTAGAACAATGACGTAAAACACTGTAAAGGTGACCCATGGGGGCTGCAGAGTTTCAGGACGCAGAGAGAGACCACTCAAAACTTTGGAGAAGCGCACTTGGATGAGAGCCTCTTCACCCATGGACACAGAGCTGGGTCTGGACTCCACGCTGTGGATCCGCAGCAGGAGGCACCGAGCAGTTCTGACAGGCTGGAATTTCAACTGGACCGAGGTGGACAAGACAAACCGCAACAAGAAAACCAGTAAGAACTGTCTGTTTAGTATGTTAAGGCTACAATATACCTATGGAACTAATGTTCTTATTCCTATTGTGAGAAATAAGACATGGCACGTGAAACTGCTATTTGGCACTCACTTATTTTCCAATCTTTAAAACACACATTGTGAAATGCACAAAGTACATTACAGCTATAAGGTTACTTAATAAACCTTGGCTACAAAGGCTAAAATTAGTGGGTCAGTTGTTGTCTCCTGGGCACTAAGTGCATGCTTAGTGAAACGTGAAGAACAAGTCCAACTGCACAAGCATGAAAGACACCTTATACATGTTTACTAAAAACAATGAGCTGGAGAAATCATGCTTTTGAAAAAATGACGAGGAATATTGTTCTATTATTGAAAAAAACAACAAGACAAGTATAAGCCCATTTGGTGTCATCCAAACTAAAGGCATGCCATTTGCTTGGTTTATCGTCTTGTGTGTTTTGTAGTATGGGTGCCTGTGTCAGAGGTGGTTGGGGTGGAGGAAGGCAGAGTGCAGATCCTGCCCCACAAGTTGGTCGAGGACACAGACAAAGACTTTACAGGTGGGACACTCCTGTTATGTTGCTAATCCCAATATGTAAAGCAGTTGATACCTGTTAACTGGGCCTGCTCATTTGCACTATATAAGAACTTTAATAATTGATCTCAAGTGCACTCTACACCATGGGTTTGTGGGTTTGCTCAAATCCATGCCATAGATAATAACAATGTGGTATTTTTTCTTTTAGTTTTTTATGTTCAGCGCTGCAATCGTTCTGGCTCATCTGGAGTACTATGGAGACTGGGCCAGACCCAGTTCACTTGCCCAAGTCGGGTATTGAGAGACCAGTGGATCAAACACCTGCGAGCAGCTCTGAAAACACATAGTGAGAAAACACATCATTCTTTCAGTGTCATTTCCGTATATATACACATCTGTAATAACCCTTTTTTTTTTATTAAGGCCCCCTACGCCCAAACCGTTTGTTAGTGTTTATCAACCCATTTGGAGGAAAGAAGCAAGGACAACAAATCTACCATACTTGTGTCGCACCATTGTTTGAGCTTGCTGGCATAAGCTCACATGTAGTAGGTAAGATTTACTTTGACTGGTGAAGAAAATGTTTTTTTAGAAGATAACAGCACCATATTATTTTTTACAGTGACCCATCGACCAAACCAGGCCAGAGACTACCTGCTAAAGAAGGACCTGACCGGATTTGACGGGTGAGTTGTCTGTCAGATCTCTCAACACTGCGCTTACATAAATTACCACAGCTAAGCGCATGATGAGACCCTGTCCATTGTGTTTCGACAGTGTGGTGTGTGTAGGCGGAGACGGCATGTTCAGCGAAATACTTCACGGTGTGATTGGGCGAACACAACAAAAGGCTGGCCTTTGTGAAAATGATCCCTCAGCGACGCTGCAGTCTTGTCATCTTCACATAGGCATCATCCCTGCAGGTAATCAGATTCAGATTCAGATTCATTTATTTGCCATTTGCAGTAAAACCACATTGGAAAAACTTTGCAAGACTACCCCAGTGTGCACCAGACGACACACACCAGAGCTCTTGCCACGGCGCCATCTTTACGGCGCCATACGAATACGAATGTCATAGGAATTACTCATCATAATGTCATCATGTTTGTCTTACCTATAAATGTATGTATGCTGTATGTGTGCAGGCTCCACGGACTGTGTGTGTTACGCTACAGTGGGAGTGATAGACCCCGTTACCTCAGCTTTGCACATTATTATAGGTAACAAAAAACAATTAGAAATGTGTTTAAAGAGCAAGGTGCAACACAGCCACGTCATGTAAGTATAATGATAATACTGTTCCTTCAGGAGACTCACAACCATTAGATGTGTCTGCTGTCCATCATCCATCCAGCCCCGTGCACTACTCTGTCTCTCTGGTGGGTTATGGATTTTATGGAGATGTTTTGGTTCAAAGCGAGAAGCACCGCTGGATGGGGCCTCTCAGATACGACTACTCAGGTTCGGATCGGATACAGCATCATTATTCACATTTTTATAACTTATAAAACACTATTACTTTTAGGTACAATTGTGTATTTGAGCAACAGGAGCTATGCTGGCATTGTTCAGTACCTTCCAGCTGACCCACTGCTCTCCAGCCCGAGAGACAAAACACGATGTCTGGCAGGGTAAGTCTCAGCAGCAGTATAGTTTAAATTAAGTGTATAATGCTGCTTTTTTTGCTTCTGCCTACTCCTTTTGGCTCTTCTACTTTGTATATATATATGTGTCCTTTTCCTTGTAAATCTGTCACACTGTGCTCAAATGACTAAAATACCTGAAGTCCTCAAAAACGTCTTGGAGAATGGGAATTTGATATAATCATCATACATTTAGGTGTGGTTCCGGTTTGAAAACTGGAATGTTTTTCAATGTGATATCTCTTTAATATCAAAGTTCCCATAAATGTCTCAAAGACAGTTTAGTTGCTGTAATTCAAGCACTGTCTCAGGTGTTGAACCTTAACTTGATCCAATGAAAAGTGAGCTGGGAGCTTCCAACAGCCTCAATACCAGTGTCTTTGTACGAGGCAGCAACCTTTGGCTCTGAAAAATCTGAGCAGACAGATATTATATTATACTGTTTAACAGAAGAAGCCCCATGTTTTGTGCACTCACCACAATTCACAGCCGTCCATAAAAAAATACATCTTTAACATATTTCTTTCAGTCTGCCATTAATGTAAAACAACACATTTATTTAACTTGTTCAGATGCAATGTTTGCGCGAGAAGCACAGAGAGAACATTTCCTCACTTTGTCGATTCACTATGCGGCTCCCACAAGAATAAGTTCAGCAGTCATTCTGAAGGTGAAATAACAAATTAAACAGTTATCTATCTCTATCTATATATAAATAAGCAGTTTAAAACTCTGATCATTTCTCATTGTTTTAGGAGAGTGGGTGAGTATCAAAGGCAGGTTCAGGTGCGTCTCCCTCACTTGCATGTCCAGCTCCTGTCCCAAAAGTCCTCTGGGCCTGTCCCCCTCTGCTCACCTGGCTGACGGGACTGGAGACCTGATCCTGGTGAGGGACACAGACCCCCTGAGCTTTCTCAAGTTCCTGTATAGACACACCAACTCAGAGGACCAGGTATGATACACATATTGGAATCAATGTCATAGGGGTAGGACTGATTTCACTGCTTTCCTAGTTTGATCTGCCTTTTGTGGAGGTTCATCGCGTTAAGGCATTCCGCTTCCTCCTCTCCTCTGAAGACGAAGAAAAATATCGAGGAGTGGACAGTCTCGGCGTGAATACACAGATAAGGGCATGTACAATGGAGCCTGTGTGTGCCAGTGGCTCTCAGCAGCACCTAGTGGAGGATGACCTAGAGAAGAAGAGTCCGTCACTGCTGGTGTGTGGACTGTGCTGCAGGAAAACACCTGCTGTGTCTGTGTGGAACTGTGATGGAGAGATTCTGCCCTATACAGAGATACTCTGCAGGTCAGTCCCCTCTATACATTATATTATGCGGCCTGTTTAACACAGGAATGAAGAAACATGGGAGGAATATGGGAGGAATTTCTTCTTCCGGGTGGATCATCTAAACATCCAATTCTGGTGATATGCAAGAGACACGTTTTAATAGGCGTTCCCTCTCGCGGTCCTTAAGATACGATAAACTTGATTGATCTCACAATGGAGAATGTCACATTTGACATAGAATCACTCGGGTTGTGCAAAAATGTGTGCAAAAAAAGTGAAAACATGTTAAAGTTAAAAATGTAGTCTCTTTTGTGCAAGTTGTATTATGTACAATAAATCTAAAGTGATTATAGCAGTGAGAGTTATTTTCAGTCCTAGTGCAGGTCATTAAAGTGACTTATTGTACAGTCTGACAGCCGTGGGGATGAAGGCCCTGTGGTAGCGCTCCTCAGTCTTCCGCTGAAGGAGCTCCTCAGCTCCTCTACAGTCCTGTCAGATTCAGTTTATTTGCAGTAAAAAAAAACCACATTGGAATACATTAGCAAAAGTCACCAGTGTGCACAGACAAATACAGACATAAAACAACATTAAAAGACAAAAATAAAAATAAAACAGTAAACAAATGTCACTGTGAAATCGATCGACTAAAACAGTTTCAAAACAAGTGCAAATCATTAAAGTGCTCTGTTCAGACTGATAACAGCTTGTGGATAAAAACTGTTAGCGTAATGAGATGTCCTGCATCTCAGAGAGCGATATCTTCTGCCAGAGGGAAGAAGCTGGAACATGGCTTTTCCAGGGTGGCCAGAAGAGTCATTAACAATCTTAAGAGCTCTGTTTAAAAGTCTGGATTTATAAAGAACCTCCAGAACAGGAAGCTCACAGCCCACGGTCCTCTTTGCAGAGCGGAGCACCTTGTTTAGAGCTCTCTTTTCTTTATCTGTGATGTTTCCAAACCACACAGACACAGAACCAACAAGTAAACTCTCAATGGTGCAGCGATAAAAGTTAAGCAGAATCTTAGAGTTAGTGGTAAATTCTCTAAGTTTACGCAGAAAGTAGAGACGCTGACAAGCTTTCTTAACGACTCGGTCAGTGTTTTTAACCCATTTCAGGTCGTTAGACAGAGTTAAACCCAGAAACTTTCACTCCTCTACGATCTGCACCTGGGAGTTGTCGATTACGACAGGCAAATGAGAACTATTGCGACTGAAGTCGTAGACCAGTTCACATGTTTTCAATGCGTTCAACTGGAGGTTGTTAGTTTTACTCCACTGAACCACATTTTGTATCTCTGCTCTATAAGAGGATTCATCATTGTCACTGATGAGACCGATGATGGTGGTGTCATCCGCATATTTGATGATCAAGTTTGAGTCAGAGGAGGACACACAATCGTGAGTGTACAAAGTAAAAAGCAAAGGACTCCCCCTGTGCAGTGGGTGGAAAGTGTTGCCCATGATGGAGGTGACTAGCACCCACCTGTCCCTCACCTCCTCCAGAGTCCAGGGAGCAGCTTGTTCAGTCTACTGTCCCGCTTTGTGCTGCCCGGGGCTTTGCACACGGCAGAGTAGAGTATGGCAGAAGCTACCACAGTCAGAGTTCTGAGCAGAGGCCTGCTCACTACAAAGGGCCGGAGCCTCCTCAGAAGAAAGAGGCGACTTTGGCCCTTCTTGTACAGGGCGTTGGTGGTATGGGACCAGTCCAGTTTCTGTTAATGTGAACACCCAGGTACTTGAAGCTGTCGACCAGCTCAATGTCTCCCCCTGGATGTTCAGCAGCGTGTGGGAAAGTGGTTGATTTAAGTTGATTACCATCTCCTTGCTCTTACAAGCACAAGTGGTTGCACTCACGTCACCAGTCAACAAAGTCCATGATAACTGGTTCTCCAGTTTGTTCCCCTCAGACACACAGCCCATGATGGGGAAAAATCCTATATTCCTTTTAAGTTTCTTCATTTCCTCTATTATTTTATATGGTTTGTTTATTGCAGGCACAAAACCAGTCATTTACACAACACGTTCAGCATTGTCTAATTTATAAATCTACAGTAATCATATTTTTTACCCTTTCAGAGTTCATGGTCAATTGGTTCGCCTGTATGCTCGAGGGATAGAAGATCAAACAACTATTCAAGATGGTACTAGAGAAAGAGGCCTCTGAAAGGTGCATTTTGGACTAAAGCAGATGAGATTAAGGACATGCATTTACATGCCTTTTATTTCAGACAATTATATTTATTTATGTATTTTATATTGATACATTTTACATATACAACTTTAATGGGAAAACGCTGACAAGTAAAGCGCACTATATTTTGTGCTTTCATTGTTACATAATGACAGTGTTTCTTATAACTACATTAACTTTGCCTGACCAGCCAGAGTCCAGACCCCTACATTTCCAAATCTTGTGAAAATAACATTAACTCACTTAATGTAAGCATTTGCCACAATGTTATTGAGCAAGTTGCACATTGCACATTCAGATGAAAGAATAACTTTGTTCTTGTGGGTAGAACGCCACCCATCTCAGAGTAGAGGATGTTCAAGTACATGTGTGAATGGAGAGCCACAGTCCTCCTTTTATTAGTAGAAACATTGATCCTGGTCAGACTATGTGCCTGCCCAAGACAAATGATAAGATTATTAAAATAAAGACAACTTTTTACCATGTATACGGCAATGTGTCCAAATCAAGCATCCACATGCTTTAGTGTTAATGAGTTTTACTTTAAAAGAACGAAAATCACCTTACCTTTTGAAGAAAGTGGGTTTAAACAAGTGAGTTGAGTTCATTGTGTGAAACATGTGCAAGTTCTCACAAGTTAACAATTCAGTAAAATTTAAATTTTAAAGGGATGCTTAATTAACAGGATAATGTATAATAAGACAAGGGGAATCATTTATTTCAAAGAGAATTTTACAGGTGAACATCAAAATCCATCTGCTACATGATTCATAAGTGTTCATGCAGGTGTCAGATCACTGTAAACATGTCCATGAGTCCTGGAGTTTAGTGCAAACATGAGTCTCATGTGCTGTGGGGCTGCACCCACTTGTATGTCCCTCCATAGTGAAATCCAACCCTTCGTGCAAGATCATCCGCTTCAGTTGGACCACGACTGTAAGAAACATAGGAATAAAAATGATACATAATTTCTATATCATTAGAAATCATGAGACAACCTGTACCTTCCATATACATAGGGTATAGGGACAGTTTTTTCTTTCTCAATCTTTTTGAGGAGGGGAGTGAAAATTCTCCAAGCCTCACGCAACTCATCACTTGGACAAAAACAAGAGTTTTATTTCAGATGTGTGACTGAAATATTGAATATTTAATCACAATTAAGACCAACCTGCGAACAAAGTGCATCTGGTTTCCACAGAAGACATCCAGTATTAGTCTCTCATAAGCATCTGGCAACTTCACATTCTAGAGAGGACATGAAATGGAGTTATCAATATACAAAAATATTCAGGCTCACTGTCCAAACAGGAAAGATACATCTAAGTCTCTGTTATTATACTCTACAATGAATCTTTTAAAATATGAATTCATAAGTCTAGTCTAGCTGGAGCCCCAAACATGGCCCGTGGGCCATTTGCTGCCTGTAGAAAGGTATTTTGTGGTCCCCTTGAAGACATCTAAGTAATATAATTAGTGTGGTTGTTTTCTTGATAAAAATAGCCTTCAAATGATGTATGGCATGTCATACGAGCCCAGACTGTGGGGCTGCACTTTTGTTGAAGGTCCCATTTTACGTTTTTTGACATTTCTCTGCTTTAAACATTAATAAAGTGCTATTTAGCCCTCATACACACGCCCAAAGTCGTTTTTTTCATTGATTTAATCAACCTTTAGTTAGAGAGCATCTCTTTTTCATTCTTGAGAGCCAGCAAAACGCCTCTGTTCAATTTGATGACGCAGCAATACTTTCAATGACGTGGCACGAGCTGGAGAAGCCGTCTCCAGGAGGTGATTGACAGAGGGAGAAATCAAAACCGTGAATCAGTGTGCGCAGCCTTTCGACTCCCGCGTCTACCACAGTCCATTACCTGCTTTTAATGATAATGATTCATTGGTTTTATATAGCGCTTTTTTGGACACAACAACCCCCCCTGGCAAATGACCCACTGGCTGCATGTTTGGGCCCAAATCTAGAGCAACCAGAGAACATCTTGTTTGCTTTCGAATTAATATTTTAATAGATTCATTACTTAACTGGGATTACAATATGGTGCAACATTGTATAGCTGCACGATTCCCTAATATTCCATCCATCCATCCATCCATTTTCTTCCGCTTTATCCGTTGCCGGGTCGCGGGGGCAGCAGTCTAAGCAGAGACGCCCAGACTTCCCTATCCACACACACTTCCTCCAGCTCGTCCGGGGGGACCCCAAGGCGTTCCCAGGCCAGCTGAGAGACATAGTCTCTCCAGCGTGTCCTAGGTCTTCCGCGGGGCCTCCTCCCGGTGGGACGTGCCCGGAACACCTCCCCAGGGAGGCGTCCAGGAGGCATCCGGAACAGATGCCCGAGCCACCTCAACTGGTTCCTCTCGACGTGGAGAAGCAGCGGCTCTACTCCGAGCTCCTCCCGTGTGACTGAGCTCCTCACCCTATCTCTAAGGGAGCGCCCAGCCACTCTGCGGAGGAAGCTCATTTCGACCGCTTGTATCCGCGATCTCGTTCTTTCGGTCATTACCCAAAGCTCATGACCATAGGTGAGGGAGGGAACGAAGATTGACCGGTAAAATCGAGAGCTTTGCCTTTCGGCTCAGCTCCCTCTTCACCACAACGGTCCGATACAGCGACCGCATAACTGCGCACGCTGCACCGATCCGCCTGTCAATCTCACGCTCCATTCTTCCCTCACTCGTGAACAAGACCCCGAGATACTTGAACTCCTCCACTTGAGGAAGGACCTCTCCACCCACCTGAAGAGGGCAAGGCACCTTTTTCCGGTCGAGCACCATGGCCTCGGATTTGGAGGTGCTGATTCTCATCCCAGCCGCTTCACACTCGGCTGCAAACCGCCCCAGTGCATGCTGCAGGTCCTGGTTCGTTGGAGCCAACAGGACAACATCGTCCGCAAACAGCAGAGATGAAATCCTGTGGTCTCCGAACCGGACCCCCTCCGACCCCTGGCTGCGCCTAGATATTCTGTCCATAAATACAGTGAACAGAACCGGTGACAAAGGGCAGCCCTGTCGGAGGCCAACATTCACCGGGAACAGGTCTGACTTACTGCCGGCAATGCGAACACAGCTCTGGCTCCGGTCATACAGGGATCGGATGGCCCTCAGTAGAGGACCCCCGACCCCGTACTCCCGGAGAACCCCCCAAAGGACACCCCGGGGAACACAGTCGAACGCCTTCTCCAAATCCACAAAGCACATGTGGACAGGTTGGGCGAACTCCCATGAACCCTCGAGTATCCGATGGAGAGTATAGAGCTGGTCCAGTGTTCCTCGACCGGGACGAAAACCACACTGCTCCTCCTGGATCCGAGATTCGACCATCGGCCGTAACCTCCTCTCCAGTACCTTGGAGTAGACCTTACCGGGGAGGCTGAGGAGTGTGATCCCACGATAATTGGAACACACCCTCCGGTCCCCCTTCTTGTAAAGAGGGACCACCACCCCGGTCTGCCACTCCATTGGCACTGCCCCCGATCGCCACGCGATGTTGCAGAGACGTGTCAGCCAAGACAGTCCTACAACATCCAGAGACTTTAGATAGTCAGGGCGGATCTCATCCACACCCGGAGCCTTGCCACCATGGAGGCTACCAACCACCTTGGTGACCTCAGCCAGGGAGATGGATGTACCCGCCCCAACATCCTCAGCCTCTGCCTCTGTAACAGAGGACGTGACGGGGGGATTGAGGAGAACCTCAAAGTATTCCTTCCACCGCCCGACAATATCCCCAGTCGAGGTCAGCAGCTCTCCACACGCACCGTACATGGTGTTGGCAAAGAACTGCTTCCCCCTCCTGAGGCGTCGGATGGTTTGCCAGAATCTCTTCGAGGCCGACCGATAGTCATGCTCCATGGACTCTCCGAACTCCTCCCAGTCCCGGGTTTTTGCCTCTGCAACAGCCCGGGCCGCGGCACGCTTGGCCTGCCGGTACTGGACAGCTGCCTCAGGAGTCCCCCGAACCATCATGGCTCGATAGGACTCCTTCTTCAGCCTGACAGCATCCCTTACTGCCGGTGTCCACCACCGGGTTCGGGGGTTGCCGCCGGGACCAGCACCAGAGACCTTGCGACCACAGCTACGAGCCGCCGCATCGGCGATTGAGGCAGAGAACATGGTCCACTCGGACTCCATGTCCCCCTCCTCCGCCGGGACCTGGGAGAAACTCTCCCGGAGGTGTGAGTTGAAAGTCCGTCTGACAGGGGGCTCAGCGAGACGTTCCCAGCAGACCCTCACTATACGCTTGGGTCTGCCAGGTCTGACCGGCTTCTTCCCCTGCCAGCGGATCCAACTCACGACCAGGTAATGATCGGTTGACAGCTCCGCCCCTCTCTTTACCCGAGTGTCCGAGACACGCGGTCGAAGGTCAGATGATACGACAACAAAGTCGATCATCGACCTCCGGCCTAGGGTGTCCTGGTGCCACGTGCACTGGTGGACACCCTTGTGCTCGAACATGGTGTTCGTGATGGACAAACCGCGACTGGCACAGAAGTCCAACATCTGAACACCGCTCGGGTTCAGATCAGGGGGGCCGCTCTTCCCGATCACCCCTCTCCAAGTATCACTGGCGTTTCCCACATGGGCGTTGAAGTCCCCCAGGAGAATAACGGAGTCCCCGGGCGGTGCACCGTCCAGTACCCCTCCCAAGGACTCCAAGAAGGCCGGGTACTCTACACTGCTGTTAGGCCCGTAGGCCGTCACAACAGTGAGAGACTTGTCCCCCACCCGGAGGCGGAGGGACGCGACCCTCTCATTCACCGGGGAGAACTCCAACACGTGGCGGCTGAGATGGGGGGCAATGAGAATGGCCACCCCAGCTCGCCGCCTCTCCCCGCGGGAAACACCAGAAAAGTGGAGCGTCCAACCCCTCTCAAGGAGTTGGGTTCCAGAGCCCAAGCTGTGTGTGGAGGTGAGGCCGACTATCTCTAGTCGGTATCGCTCAACCTCCCCCACGAGCTCGGGCTCCTTCCCCCCCAGTGAGGTGACGTTCCACGTCCCAAGAGCCAGATGTTGTGTGTGCGGACTGGGTCGCCGAGGTCTCCGCCTTCGACTGCCGCCCAGTCCTCTCAGCACCGCTTCACCACGGACCCCTCTGCAGGTGGTGGGCCCACAGGAGGGACTGCCCACGTCATCCCTTCGGGCTGAGCCCGGCCGGGCCCCGTGGGCTAAGGCCCGGCCACCAGGCGCTCGCATACGGGCCCCGACCCCAGGGGCAATATTTATCTGGATTTATCCACATATCTGGAGCAATACAGTGCCTTGCGAAAGTATTCGGCCCCCTTGAACCTTTCGCCACATTTCAGGCTTCAAACATAGATATAAAATTTTGATTTTTTTGTCATGAATCAACAACAAGTGGGACACAATCGTGAAGTGGAACTAAATTTATTGGATAATTTAAACTTTTTTAACAAATAAAAAACTGAAAAGTGGGGCGTGCAATATTATTCGGCCCCTTTATTTTCAGTGCAGCAAACTCACTCCAGAAGTTGAGTGAGGATCTTTGAATGATCCAATGTTGTCCTAAATGACTGATGATGATAATAGAATGTACCTGTGTGTAATCAAGTCTCCGTATAAATGCACCTGCTCTTTGATAGTCTCAGGGTTCTGTTTAAAGCGCAGAGAGAACCATGAAGACAAAGGAACACACCAGGCAGGTCCGAGATACTGTTGGAGAAGTTTAAAGCCGGATTTGGATACAAAAAGATTTCCCAAGCTTTAAACATCTCAAGGAGCACTGTGCAAGCAATTATATTGAAATGGAAGGAGTATCAGACCACTGCAAATCTACCAAGACCCGGCCGTCCCTCCAAACTTTCATCTCAAACAAGAAGACTGATCAGAGATGCAGCCAAGAGGCCCATGATCACTCTGGATGAACTGCAGATAACTACAGCTGAGGTGGGAGAGTCTGTCCATAGGACAACAATCAGTCGTGCACTGCACAAATCTGGCCTTTATGGAAGAGTGGCAAGAAGAAAGCCATTTCTCAAAGATATCCATAAAAAGTCTCGTTTAAGGGAAGATGGCTAAAATTGATGGGAAGATGGATGGAGCCAAATACAGGACCATTCTGGAAGAAAACCTGCAAAAGACCTGAGACTGGGACGGAGATTTATCTTCCAACAGGACAATGATCCAAAACATAAAGCCAAATCTACAATGGAATGGTTCACAAATAGACGTATCCAGGTGTTAGAAAGTCAAAGTCCAGACCTGAATCCGATCGAGAATCTGTGGAAAGAGCTGAAGACGGCTGTTCACAAACGCTCTCCATCCAACCTCACTGAGCTCGAGCTGTTTTGCAAGGAAGAATGGGAAAGAATTCCAGTCTCTCGATGTGCAAAACTGATAGAGACATACCCCAAGCGACTTGCAGCTGTAATTGCAGCAAAAGGTGGCACTACAAAGTATTAGCGCAAGGGGGCCGAATAATATTGCACGCCCCACTTTGTTAAAAAAGTTTAAATTATCCAATAAATTTCGTTCCACTTCACGATTGTCCCACTTGTTGATTCTTGACAAAAAATTAAATTTTACAGGATATAAAGATATGAATCTTTATGTTTGAAGCCTGAAATGTGGCGAAATGTTGAAAGGTTCAAGGGGGCCGAATACTTTCGCAAGGCACTGTATATCACACATACAAATGCATTACTGTGACACGTCTAACTCATCCATCTTCTTCCCCTTAAATCCATTTCTGGGTCAAAGGGATGGCCAGAGATGCCACCCAGTTCACAGAGCACCAGCCCCTCACTGATCCTCCTGCAGGTGGTGAGTCCACAGGAGGATGGCTGCTCTATGGCATAGCCTTGGTTTTTCAGCGGGGGCTTCAGGCAAAGTGGGATTAAGTGTCTTGCCCAAGGACACAATGACAGCAGACATCAGTGGGAGTCGGTGGAGAAGGTCTCTCTTGGCTCGAACCCTTGACCAATGCTCTACCAACTGAGCCACTGTTGCCCCATGTCTGACTTGGTGTATATTAATAATGAAACATTAAAAAATGTACCTTGTATCTGCTCTTGTAAGTGAGATCCAGTTCCGTCTCCTCTGGGCTGAAGTAAACTCCTGGCCTCTTGGTCATCATCTTCAGGTAGATGGCCTCATCCGGCTGGACACGCATCACCAGCTCATTCCGCTGACACCTCCCACCAAATATGTCTCCTGGCACATCAGTGAACTGTAGCCTTACTTCAGCCTTTCTCTCGTTCAGGGCTTTACCACAGCGCAGAATAAAGGGCACGCCTGAAATTAATTGAATGAGAATTGAAGTTGTATTTAAAAGAGTCTGTAGAACAACAGTAAAAACCATTGTTCTCACCATCCCACCGCTCATTCTGAACATAGAGCACTGCGCTCGCAAATGTGGGTGTGCATGATCCAGTCGGCACACTGGGGTCGTCCAGGTAACCACGGCGGGCCTGTCCCTCCCCCTTGAGGTCCCCAACATACTGTCCTAGGACCACATCAGAGGCAGAGGCAGGGGCAACACATTTCAGTACTTTGACCTGCAAACAGTGAGAAAAGCAAGAATTGTGTCATGAGCAATGACATACACCCAGGCCGAAATTACATTTGATCACATTATCACTCATTATCTCCAATATATCATTGTGGTAGCACAAAGCCATACATTTTAAACAAATTAAAGGATATTTGAGCGGCTAAAATGCACAGATCGTGTAAGGCGGCCCAGGAATTTACAGGGAATGGTCAGCTTTACCATCCACAACCACCACATAATATGCCGAGCTGTCATACAGTAGATGTTAAAGGGGAAATGCACACCGTCATTTGAGTACTTTCTGTGGTCATTATCATTTGAAAATAGAAATTACCTTTATTTGACAGGATTTACACAACCATTGAGTTAAAAAAAAATTAGCGTTCTCTCAAATCTTTGAACAATTATTAAATTCTGCCAAGATGTGTAACATTCCAGCAGATGAGCATTATGCACCTTTTCATCGCGTACATCATCAAAGTTAGTAGATGCTGGTGTCTCCATAGCAACCAAACATAAAATCTGAAGCAAATGATTCTGCATTACGTCACTGCATGAAAGACAAATAAATAAAATAATGAATTACTGAAAAAACGTATATACATTTAGTCATTATTAAGTTTGTTGTGTGCAAGACATTTACCGAAGAATCCCAAAGTCGTCGAAGTAGCCTCCACGACCCTGTGTACCAAACGGCTCCTTGAAAGTGAGGACCACACAAGACACACTGTTCCGGTTCCAGATTGGCCCGAATATGCGATTTCCAAACCTTTGCAAAGTTATGTCAACTTGTGATCAGCACTGTACACTTACAATACAGGGTTTCTCAAACAGAGGTCTTAAAAAGCTGATTGTTACTTCAATACTACAATTTCTGATATAAAATACGACAACATTAAATCTAACAGGGTCTGGTTAATTCTATGATGGGAGACCTCTGGGAACACCAGGTGCTACAGTGGGACAGCTGCATCTGTGAAGTATCAAAATTTGTGTCCTTAACTTCCCCAAATTGCTTAGTACGAGTCTAGCATGTGTGTGAATGTGGTGCTGGTCTGAAGGGCTGATGGCATTCTGGTTGCCTCACTTCAGTCAGTCTGCCCTGGGGCAGCTGTAGCGACAGTATTGCGTAATCACCATTGTGTATAGCGTGAATGCATAATGCCATGAGAAGCATCTTGAAGTCTCCAAAAAGTGCTTTATAAAACTGATGCATTATCATTATTATTGTTACAATGTACCTTAGCACCATGAGGTTCTGCACCATCTCCTTCCCCAGGTAGTGGTCGATGCGATAGATTTGTTCTTCTTTAAAGAGTGAGGAGAGGTGCGAGGAGAGCTCCTGTGAACTCTGGAGGTCCCGACCAAACGGCTTCTCCACTATGACCCTGTTCCAACCCCTGTCCCACACAGCATCAGCTGATCAGAATGTGATTAGTGCAAGCCCCTAGGGATTTTACAGAGCACTCACTTGTGGCTGATGCAGTGTGCGCTGATGTTTGTGGTTACACTCTGGTACACTGTGGGGGGCAGGGCCAGGTAGAAGAGCCGGTTTGCATCAGCTCCATCCGGGAGAGATGATAAATGGACATGTAGTTTGTTAAAAGAGGTGGCATCGTCATAAATCCCACTGATGTAAGAGTTTTTACTGAAAAAGACATCGAGGCAGTGGCTCTCTTCCTCAGCGGTCTTTACAGAAAACACATTTACTTAGACATACTTCCCAATAACAGCTCAAAAGCATTTATAAATATACATACTTTCATATGGGGCAGACATGCTGTCCTGATGTCCTGGACAGTAAGGTTGGAGCGAGCAAACCCCACAAAGTACGTCTCATTTGGGAGCAGGCCATCTCTATACAGCCACCTATGGACAAACTGGTCAGACGCACAGATCCATAATACTGAGCAAGGGTAGTAATCAGTGAGAACTTGCCAAAGTGTTGGGTAGATTTTCCTTTTTGCAAGATCACCCTGGGTAATACAAAATAAAAACACGTCATAAGTTGGAACAGCAGAACAAGCCATACTCAATTGGTAATAAAACGTATATGACTACAATGAACTCCATTAGTGGTCATGTAGTTCAATTAGAAAGTATATTATTAAATGAATGCATATTTATTACTCACTGAAGCTCCAAATATGATGAAAATGTGCGTCTTGGGAGCCAACAGTGGGTCTCCATACAGCTCCCTCCTGAGCTGACCGATGACTTCACAGCGGTTTAAAGCGTCAGCGGACATCTCTGCACTGCCTCGTGTCACTCAGTGAACCGAGAGTGGACTTTCTCCTGCTCTTACAGGGTCACGCGCACTTATCATTGCAATGCAGGAAAAAAAGGACTTAAGTGCTGCCATCTGCTGATCCGATACCATATTGACTTAAAATCTTTTGTATGACTACATTTCCCTTTGTCCCCTAAAATGAAATATCAATGTATGTACTGTATCACAAGTTATATTAAAAATCAAGACCAGCAACAAATAGTTTTTACCTGAATTTATAGTCCTTTTCACCACTCGAGTCAAGGTTGCGAAACTTGACAAAGCCATGGGTTTTTCAACTGTTGGCTCAAGTTAAGTTTTTACCAGTAGAAATAATCTGGAGCTGATAATACAAAGTGAATGTGATTACAACACAAAATAAATTCAAAAATCATTTTATTATAAAATATGGTTCTTTTTCATTTAAACATTAAATACAATGTGTTCCCATTACTTTGATAGCATTCTTACCACACAGTTTATTGCAAATCCCAGCCTTTTCCACATGGTCAAAGCTGCCACTTATCTCAAACCCTTGCTTACTCAAGGGACACCGCCACCTTCAACTGTGCTTCCTGAGTTTCCGTCATAAATTAATTTAAAAACAACACATGCCAACAAATGGCTCAACGCTTCTCTTTGCTCTGTCTTCCCGCTCATTATTAATGGCTTGTCTGTACCACACATTTCTCCCAGCTCTGCAGCTGGGTTTGCTGTGTCTTTAGCCTCACTGTGTGAGAGTTTAAAATGAGATCAAAGTTTTTGGTGTATGTTTGTGGGGGTCAGCTGAAGGTCCAGTGCTGGAACAGATCTGCTGCATTACAAGAGTCCATCAGAATCTGGCCTCCATCCAGCCGCAAGCACTTCCCACTCTGCGGATTCTTCAGGAGGTTTTCCTAAAAATAAAATAGAATAACCTGACTTAAAGATGACAAAAAGATGCCAGATTAAGATAAGATTCCCTGACAGGCCGATGCTAATGTCCAGTTTCCCCGGAGGCCACATACTGTGATTATGGATCTGTTTCAGACATTTAGAAGAAAACAGGATAAGGGGCACATCCACGTTTCTCTCTGTGTAGCTCCTCTATTGGTCATGTGCCAAGCATGAGAGTGCCATGAATGTATTTTGATTTTAAATGTCATAACACTTTATTTGCTACTCTTGTAGCAATGTAATGTCAAGTAAAATGAGACGTAGGTGGCCATTGTTACTTTTTCATCCTGTTACAATATCAAAAAATAAAAATTAAAGTATGCCTTACCTCTGTAAAAACCCACTCCTGGTTTGGCCCAAGAATTGTGCCTTTTCCTTTTAACCAGCACTCTTCAATCTTCACTACATCAGGCAGTGCATTAGCGTGGAGACACAGCTGCTTACCGATGTTGTGTCGTAGCTCTCTATGGGATGTGTATTCAAAGTACTACAAAGACATATGCACACAAAAGAATCAAGTTTACTGAAAAAGATTATATGTTACCTCTGCTTTTATACCTGGTTTCCTCCCATATTATGACATTGATACATAATCAGAGCTTTGCCTCCTTGATTGTTTTCACCCACATCCAAGCAGCTCTTTGATCCAGAATTACGAATCTAATGCAAACATACATATCATCAAGCATAAACGTTGTTGCCTTTTATTCCTTTCTAAATGAAAAACGTGACTCACAGGTCCAAACTTGACTGGGTCTAGGTCTGGGATGAAGGCCTCTGGGTAAACAGTTTTCAAATACCAGGTAAAATTTTTGCACTGCAGCTTCTCCCTTAGAGTTAAACGTTCAGAAATGTCTCCATACTGGTTCTGCCAAAGAGAATACAAGTTACAGATATTTGTATAGGAAATTAAAAACCTGCTTAGACGGTCCTCACCAACCTGACTTGCCATACTGGCGGCATTTTGGTTGCGACGATAGAAGATTTTCTTAAAGTCATCCATCCAGACCTCTGCGAGGCGCACCTGGTTGCGAGTGATGACTTCGGTGCCTTTAGGAAATGTGTGGGGGCTCTTTGTGCGGAACACGTGTCCCACCACAGAACAAGGTATGATCTCGAGTTGGCCTCCGCATTGCCATACCTACCCATCATTTAGAAATATTCACTTTAACAATTATTCTGATGGATAGGAAGGGCACCAAAAAAAAAAAAACTCACCCTGAAGGACATTTCCACATTCTCACCACCCCAAATCTCCATCTTGTCATCATATGTTCCAATGTACCCAAAATATTTTTTGGATATTGAGAAGAGACCTCCAGCAAAAGTTGGTGTTCTGATGCACAAATATTTTTTTAAATACATAATCATGTTCAATTGACATTTAGGGGTGTAACGATTCAGAATGGCCTTGTTCCAATTTGATTTAATTGCGATGCATACCAAAGCGTAAACAAATATTTTCATTGTTTGTGCACTCTTCCTGGCGTTGTTTTGTGTGTACACTTTGGTACAATGCATTGTTACATCCCTGGTTGTCAATAAAAATCCAATCCAAGTAAGCTTACTTTACAGGATAAGTCTCATCTTTGCGCAGTTTCTTGGCATCTTCTGGTATAGGCTCCCAGCCGAACGTGAGACTCCAGTCAAAGTTGCCACGGTTGTAAGCGCGATTAGTGGCTACAGGTTTGTGAAACTGGAAAGTGTTCAGGTCAATGGAGCTTATCTCTGGACTCACCACCGCAGTAGGCTCCTCCACAATACGATGCAATAATGGCTCCAGCCAGCCTTCGAAACACTCACCTGCAGAGAGAAAGGAGAGGGGATTTACTACAATGAAAATTCTGATGAGGACTTTGTAAAAACATTTACTCAAATACTCCACAATCATCCTTAAGTTGTTTTAAGGTTGCTGCAACTTTTATACTTCAAATGTAAATAATTGGAATTACATTAACAGCAAGAATGGAGAGATTCCAAATTGCCAGTTCATTTTTTTTACTAATTTCCGTAAAGGATAAACTTATGGAGAAAAGACAACCACAATAAAAATGAGTTCCACTTGTGCTTAGCATGGACAGGAAGTAGTTAGGAACTCGGACAAGCATAAAGTACAGTTAAGCCCAAGATTAATCACCTAGAGACTACTCTCAGAATGATTTAGTAAGTAATAACACTTGAGTGAGTGATAACACTGTTTTAGGCGAGGTGCAATTTCTCAATGTTCAAATTCAAATGGTTTTAGCTCTTTAACTGCTTGAAAAGATTCAAACAGTTTTGAGTTACCCTGAACATATTAGTCCTACCCAAGGAATAAATGTATTTAATGAAACATTTGTCTGAAGAATGAGTGTGGTTTCCTACAGTGAGCATCCAGGAAGGTGAGCACGTCCCCCTTTGCTATACTGGCCCCCAGGAGTCGGGCAGTGATGAGGCCCTTTCTCTCCAGCTGCCGCACCACACGCACAATCTTCAACTCAGACACATGCTGCTCCAGTTTGTCTTTGAGATGCTCTAAAGGGAAAACAGAAGTGTTTTACACATCACTATTCCTCTATATGACGTCAGAGCTTCATATCAACGGTTACTGGGAAACTGCCAACTGGAGGAAGGTTGGTGACGAAAGTCAATGGAAATGTCAACATCATAAAATGCTTTCTGCATGAGAACCAATTATATAGTATAGGCTACGGCCATGGTAAGATGGCCAACAGTGAGTCAACTACTGCCAGCAGTGCGTTTGCATATGACATATTGACTTTGTTTGAACTGGTCTTTAACCAAATATAAATGTGTTGATCGAGAAAAGCAGAAGAGGAACTCAGGGTACAGTAGGAGATGCACACAAGTTTTGCAAGCCTTGACTGTTTATTTGATGACACTTGGTAAAGAATTGAAACAAATACTCATTCTAAACGAACATTACTAGCAGAACTAGCATTGCTCTACTGTTGTAGTTTGCAACAATGATAATAGATTCATAAGTACGTTTTTTCTTGATAACACATGTCTTGTTATTCGTAGTCATTAGTGATAAAGCATTACTGTCTAGATTAATAGTGGGAAATGCTTTGTTTATAAAAGCAGCGCAACACAATTACACACAGACGTCAGATAGGAGCTACCAGCACTGCCTGCCAACAAATGTCACTTGGCCTTTGATAGCTGTGACACAAGGTTAAGATGGGAGAAATCAGGGAAACTGCTAGACAAAACAAAATAGATGTGACCTATTAAAATAACATTTTATCCAAGAATATATAACATTTTGGCAAAACAAAAACACCATGCACCTAAATCAAATCATGTTTTTGGACTCGCCCCCAGCCATGTGACAAAGTCTAAGCAGCTGTCACAAATAACCTAAACACTTCCTGGTATTTGGTTTTAAAAATATCTCCATTGTCTGCTCTAAACGGTAAAAAGTCACTGTAGGGCTCCTGGTCCAGGGGATGAGTTCACTGATATGATCTTTCTCTTACTATATCAAAGTATTTAATAGCAAAGCTCACCAAGGCTGTACTGAGGTATGCCAATATGAAACAATAAGAGGAACACTTTTCTGATAAACAACATTTACAACCCCCCTCCCAAACACACACACAACTACTACATACCTGCTACACTGGCATCATCTACCAAAATGATTTCTTTGAGTAATTGGGATGGAGAGGTGTAGAGCACGCTGTATACAGTCCTGAGGAGAGTGGACCAGGCCTCGTTATGGAAGACTATAATGACGCTGGTGGTTGGTAGAGGAGGGCAGCGGCGAAACTTTCTTTCCACACACCTGGAACAAAGGTAAAAAGAGAATTAGCAACAAAGAGTCAAATAAAAACCACACCTTTACGTCAATGAGTGTGCTGTGCTTGTCCTTTTAAATGCATTCTTTTATGGATATGTCAACTCCATGCTTGGTCAAGACATTTTTAATATACCTCATGTATAAATACATATGTAATGCCACCCAAGCTGATAAAAAGTAAGACAAAGGAGGGAAGTTGTGTATAATTTGAAAGAAGACAGATCTCCTAATTGTAAGGGACAAGCATACTCTTGAGATGCACATTGACAATGATGTGTTTGCTTAAGCTTATTCACAGATCCTGTAAACACAATTACAAAACCAGTTGACGTGTGTGTAAAAGGATGTAACAGTACAACAGTTACACATACACTAACATAGCACCACTCTTGAATACAGTCATACAAAAAAGCATTCTTTGTTTACTACCATCTCTGTTTATGATTCAACTTGAGTGCTAGTCAAATTAAATTAAATACAGTTTTAGTTGCTTATTTTTAAGTGTTTGTGACCTAAAATCTTAACTTTTAAATGGAGAAATAGTTATGGTAAGGCCTCATCTTAGACAAAGATCAGAACCTTTGCTTCCATGTGATGGATCTTACCAATGATTTCATATGTACATGTCAGACATTTTAATTATGTTATTATATTCTATGTGGGGGTTTTGTACATTCAAGCTATCACTCCATTTAAAAAAGGAGTTATGTTGTCTGAAGTGAAGTGGAAAGTATCAAATTCGTGTAAATAATTGACCAGCCTTTTCATGATCTATGAAGTGTTATCGGCCCAAGTGTGACTAACCCACCTGGACTGATTAAAACTTGCAATCCCCAACTTTCATTCAAAAGAAAAATGCATCTATGGTGAGAATTAAAAACCATGTAACTGGGTCCTTGCTCTCAAAATAATTTGGTTATGTTAATAGTTTTCACATGCATGTATTTTTTATTTAATCAGGTCTTTAAATCAGTTTTTCAGACAGAAAAGTGAAAAAAGTGCATCATTCAGAACTTACTCTGGGGGTCTGGTATCTTCTCCAAGGCTTCGGCTGAGCGAGATCCGGTCACTGGCAAACTGGTTAAAACAGTGTCTTGTCATGCCATCCTCCTTCTCTTTCGCTTCTTCAGGGGTCAAGTTGTCTGTTTGAAACGCTTTACCATCAGCTCCCGGGGCATTACGGTCTTGGGGCGGTCGGTCCAGGTGTGGTTTGAGCTCAGCCAGAGAGTAGAAGCCGGAGGGACAGCTGACATCCTCTGTGGGCTGTGAAAAATCTGGCGGAGGCTGAGGAGCTCCAATCTGAAAGCCTATATTGTGAACAGCATCTCGAACCATCACCATCACCTTGTCCTTTTTGTCGACAAGATCCTGAAACCAAGGATCCTGCCCAGGTGAAGAGGCAACATCCTTTTGAAGAACAACTAAAACCACCATGAAGAGTGTCCCCCCCAGCACCACAAGCTTGACAGGGGACATACGCCGTCGTAGAAGTCGCATTTTTCAGAGGTGAAGCACAAAGAGGAATGCCACAGCTTTTGTTCCTTAGCTATGCATCTTAAAAGCGTGTCATCACCATGTCGACTCTACAAAAGAGAAAAATGTTGTACCATTTTCATTCAACAGGTTTCACTAGACTTACTTGAAGCTGCAACTAATCTTACGAGGGGCACTCCTCAGTCTGCCTTCTATGCACCTGAGGGAAGTGTCCCATGAGTCAGGTGGAGTGAGCGAGCAGTAGGAGAGAGAGAGCCCTAACACCACACCTTCGTAAACATATGACTTGGCCATGTCACACTCCTCCAGGACCCCCACGTGGCAGCAGATAGCAACACTGGTTAATAAGTGACGCACACATCACCAAAGACACCCTCTCCACTCACTCATTACACCAACACTTAACCTTGGCACAATCTGCAGCCAATTTCCTGAAACAGAATATCAACACGAAGGACATCAGACGTGTCCTAAGTGATCAGAGCACTTTTACTAAGTCATTATTAATTTACCCTCGCCCAGGCTCCTTCATAATTGATTTAAGCGGAGGACACTCACGAGGTATAACCAGTTTGTCCACTCTGTTGCCACAAAACATACTCAGTCTGTTCAAACGCACACATGGCGCGTCTATGGCCTGTGTAAGAACCATTTTGTACATTTCAAGAACATTGTTTTGTGGCTAGGAACTTTTTCTACATAACAGAGCCTAAACTATCTTGAAACAAAATCGAAAGAGGAAGGAACATCGGGGAAGTTGAATAATAAATCTAAAAAGGCGGTAAGAAAAAAAGAAAAAAAAGTGGAAGCTACTTTTAGACGACATTTGATTGAGTTGACTGCTACACTGACGTTTGCTACACTGACTCCCCGCGATTCTACAAGTCACTTGTTGACGCTCTTGGTACTTACCTCAGAACTATTCCGAGCAATATGGTCCAAAGCTCGTCTCTCTCTCTCGTCTCTCTCAGCGCCCCGGTCTGTGCTGTGTGCTTGGGCTGAGAGGAGTGAGTGAGCGCGGGGCTGGATGGAGCGAGTGTCTCTTCCTCCTCTGAACAGGTGCCATTCGTTTGTGATGATTGCGGCGGAAGTGAGACCCCTCCTGGCCGCACGCGCACACGGGATCATCTCCGTTCTCTACCATCTATCGACTCTTTCTCTACTGATAATGTTGCAATTTTGGCAACTGTAGAGTTAGAAATGCTGAAGTGGCACACATATCCGCAAATGAATCATAGTTTTCCTGTGGAGCAAACATAGCGTGGTACATCCTCACAGTCTTAAGTAGTCCATTGTCCTTTCTGATAAACATTAGAACTACATGTGTAATCCGATAGACGCACGTGAGCCAGTCGTGGATGTGACGTTTTCATCAGGATTAGCGGAATTGATGTTGTTTAATTAATGTTCTACATAGAGAGCTGCAAGTGAACAACACAGCATTACCTCTTCACAAATGCATTATTCATACGGCAGAAATTAAGTACTCTCTCCAGTGTCAACTCCTGTAACTGTACCTGCTGTATTGAGAGAAGAGGCTCGAGTTTCTGTCACGGTCAGAAATCTTGATTGTGGTCTGTTGACTGACAGGCAGGAGCCAACTGTGAAGAAAAGCATTATACCATCTGGAGTATTCACACTGAACGGGTTTGTAAAGAATGCAACAATGTACTGAAGTAGCAAATATGTAACTGCACTACAAAAAATGACTACAGACATAAGTAAAACTTACTTGGTGAAACGCCTTTGATTAAATCAAAAAATACTTTTTGCCTCAAGCGAACTACAACAGCAATTTGATTAAAGAAGTGTTTTCTTTGTTCTAATCTAGAGTCTGTTAAGAGTAATTTTGTTGGCAATTTTAGCTTAGTAGAATCATGCACTAACAGATATAGATGTGTGTACAATTATAAATACGTTTTTTTTTTAACCTAATTACGAGTACACTTGTAAAATTACACTATTCATCTTTTGGTAGTTGGAAGTATGGTAATAACAGAAAAGGAAATGCAAAGAAACACATAGAATAAAAAAAAAACACTTAGAGCAGTGAATAAAAACAGCCATTTATTGAGAGGAAAATTATTCAACCAATCATTGCACTCCTCCATAGACTGCAACAGTGGTTTATTGACCTGACAAATCCAGGACACAGAAACTAGTAGAAGAAATGAGACTTCTTTAGCCAATAAGGCAACAGTTTAGGCTCAGGTAGAAAACTGAAAATATAAAGCCTTCTATAACATAAAATCACTTCAACATAAATTATTTTGCTCTATCGCAGTACCAAAGGCAATTATCAGAGTGGTTCTCCTCAGTAGTAGCTTCTTAGTGGACAAATACATTCAAATAGTGATTGTGTGAAGGAAGGGCCGATTGTAACTAGAGAACTTGAAAAATACTGTTGTTGGAAGTAGTTACTTTTTGGTCCAGAAGTTAATACATGGACTTGAACTGCATATTGTAAAAGGCAATACTTGTGAACCATAAATATCCCATACAGTCAGTCAATACTGAAGCTGTGGAGATACTGTCCTGATGGAAAAATAATCTACAGACAGTCCCAATCATCATTTTCAAATTATCCTAATCATTTTCAACTTTAAGCAATAATAAAAAAAAACATGCCTTGTAGCAACAGTTTTGGCAACAAAAAAGTATTTTTTTGTACAGTAAAAACCTCACAGTGAACAAGTACAGTATGCCCCTTAATAGGTACGTGTGCTCACATCCGTACACCAGTTATACATCTATATTCTTCACTATTTCTCCATTGCACCATGAGACAATTTCTTTTCCTTCAATTTCCAAAACTTCTTACATTTCGTTGCGCCAACAATATATCTGTATGTGCCCACAGTGGAGAGGAAGAGACAGAAGGCCCTGCTTAGGATCATAGAAGCAATCCAAGCTAAGGTCATCATTGTGTATAATTATGTTTTTTGAGTGGTCCTTTCTGTCTCTGGGTGCAACTGAGACATTTTTCCGTGGCATTTTGCAGTAAAAATAGGAATAAATTACGTACTTTTTATATTAAATGTTTGTTCTTTGGTCATAGTCATCCTTCATGTGTATCCGTTTGCATATTTTCTTTAAAGTAGTGTACAGTATTTTCACATAAGAAATAATCCATCCATGAAAATAAATAAAAACTCTGGATGAAATTCTTGTCCTATTGCTTATAAAAGCATAGCCACTTCTGTCCTAAGGCAACTGGGCTTTGTGATCTCTTTTCAAGCAGCTCAAGGGGAAAGTCTTCATCATAAAACCACTTCCTGCCTGACGATGGTCATCTCCGCCCGCCATCTTGTGCCTTCACCATGTTCGTGGGAAGGCTCTGCCAGAGTTGGCTTCTTCCCGGGCACTCTCTGTAGGAGTTTGTGTCCTCTCGTTGAGGTCAAGGGGTGTGCTGTGTCCGTATTGCTCTGGTCTGCTCTCGTTAACTACCTTGAGGGCCGCTGGTGAGGAAGTAAGTGGTCATCTCACCCTTCCCCTTGACTTTGACCAGGCCGCGGCAGTCCAGCTTGTATCCGTGACTGGAAAGCACGTGATACAAGTCCGTTGTCACCTGAGACGGGAAGACGAGATGTTGGAAATATGTTAGTCACACTGTACACAACAATTAGTGTTACACAGCTCTTACAGGGCCTTGTGAAACAACTTTTATTAATTTAAGGGTTATTTTATGCAGTTGTTTCACCTGTTTTACATGCTAACAATATATAAAAAAATACATTATCTGTAATTAGTTTTCCCACCTCATACATGATAGGATTTTGTCCCAACAAAAAGGGTCTTGAGAAAGTAAAAGGTTGTGATCCCATCAGCCCATCTTTATCTTATTAGAAATCACATACTTGTAAGAAAGTCCCTATTTGATGCTTTTGGCTGAAAGTTTATTGGCTTAGAGGGGCAGGCTCTCATTTTCTATCTCTATTTCTATCTGAAAAAAGGTCTTAAGACATGATAGAGGCCAAAGATGCATGCCAATTACATTCTTGTGAAAAATAGAATAATTTTATTATTATTTGTGGCTTGAAGCTTCCCAGCTTGAATAAAAATCAAAACGACAAAAAAAAAATTTGATTCAATATTGTAATTCAAAGAAATGTGATTTATCTTTCTGCAGTTTGGACTGACACTCAACAGGTGGCAGCATTGCCCTAATTCTACTTTTTCCAGAGGGAGTGATATTTGGGTCAAAAAACCTCATCACAATTGCAAGAAGATTAACCAACCAGGCTCCAGATGTTATATTTTCACACTCAAATGTGAACAAATTTCATTAAATTGAGTAAATTGCCATATTTTTGACATTTTTGTAAAGTAGGTCGCCTGCTGAACTGTGACATTCATTTTATTGGTTTCAGTGATACAGCTGCATTGTAATCTATTTTATGTAAATAGTCATTGTGAGTATAAATGAATCTTGAATATTACAAAAACATTAAAGCAATATGTAAAATATGTGACTAAATAACCTATTAAAGTTACCAAAATTAACTAAAAGTTACAACTAGTTGTATTAGTGTAGTGATTTATGTCATAATTGTTGTCCTCCTTTGTTACAGTTGCCCTCACCTGGATGTAATCGGGGACTCCTGTGCTGTCCATGCGGCTGGCCACATTCACCGTGTTCCCCCAGATGTCGTACTGAGGCTTCCTGGCTCCTATCACTCCTGCCACCACCGGCCCCATGTTTAGACCTAGCATGGGGGGAACAAGACACCAAATAACTACACTGTAAAAATATGAGGTGAAACAACCTGAAAAATGAAATGATCTCAAAACAAGAAACTTGAATTATAAAGAAATAAAGATGGTAAAAACCATGTCCCCATAATAGATAATGTCACTTTTCATGTTAAAAATGTGTTTTTGCAATCAAACTTGTATTTGCGTGAAGTTGTTCATTCTGAATATGTTGTTGGAAATTTAATAATGAGAAGATGATTAAGAAATTAAAGATTTAAAACTTTTAAATGATTGTTTGATACAAATTTAATGTTGATATTTTATGAGAACACTCTACTGATGGATGAGAGATCCAGACTGATATAACCACAATATATAGTTTTATCTGTAATCTACAGTACACTATAGATATGACAATAACAATAAGAATGTATTGCATCCAAATTGAGACATGCATCATTCAACTGTTTAAATAATGTGCAATACTTGCACTCTTTATCACGACCTTTGTTATGTGCAGCTCTATATATAGACATAATCATAGTTTATTCATACTGTTCCAAACATACTGTTGGAACCTTCTATTGCCAATTAGCGGAAGTGTTACACTTTACTCCAATATTCTATGAATATCTATGCTCTATTTTTATACTTCTCATTATCTAATTGCAAGGAAACTTTTTCGGATTCCTATATTTTCATTTCTTAAAAATGTGTTGGCAGAAGAATGACAGAATTTTGATACTCACCGATCTTCATCTGGAAGTTGTTGAAGGAGTGTTCGTTGATGTACTTCATCTGTTCCCTCAGCCTCATGGCGTAGTCGGCCAGTGCCAGGATGTGTGAGCGGCCTTCTCGGTCGTATGTGGAGTCATTGAGGCCGGATGCTGCCATGTACGTGGAGCCGATGGTCTTAATCTTCTCCAACTGACGGAAACAGTCTTCACTAATGATCTACAACAAGAAGGTGTGAGATAAGAATATTGACAACACATTTATGACCAGATTTAGGGCTTGTCCAATAGATGAAGAGCTTGTTGCACTTTGGGATTAGTACACTTCCTTTGAAGAAGTGATCACACAGCAAACAAGTGCAGACTAGTTCACTAGTCACCTGGGCCAGATGACTTTAAAAACATATCAATTCCGACTTGTGCATTTGGTTGACTATTGAACTGAGTCCTTTCTAGACCAAGTGTGTAAAGCCTCAGCCTTGTAGAGGACAGAAAACAGTGGTCAGCTCCTGGTCAGAGACAAAACTGCAGAGGAAGGGTATGCACTCTGGCAGAGATAAGTGAGAAACACAGAAGAGACATGCACCTCGTCAAAGTCTGCGATGATTTCATTGAGCAGGCGCAGACACTCCACTCCCTCATTGTTTGCCTCTAGTTCCACATAAAACTCAGAGAAGTTGCTAATGGAGGCGAACATGACAGCGACACACTCGCAGGACTGATAGTACAGCTCATCATTGCGCCTCTCTCGGGCCAAAAAATGGGCTGCCACGTCTTTGGGCAGAATGTTATGGAGCAGACGTCTGTTATAGGCCTGAAGCTCCTCCATCTCCTCCTTCTCCTCCGTAGCCTAAACAGAAAATAAAATAAAAAAAATATTAGTGCTGTCAAACGATTAAAACATTTAATTGCTATGTCATAGTTATATCACAATTAATTTCCAATTTTTTCCTCGTTCTAAATGTTCCAATCCCTTTTGATTTGGTGTGAAAGGGACTGGATGAACATAAAGCCTATATTAATCCAATTCTCTCCAAAAACAAAGTATTGTCTAATATAGGCTACACAAACTCTGCATGCTTTTGTTATTGTTTTTTTTTTCATAGTGCCCAGAACCATTGAACATGTATAAATTAACTGACAACACTACTATTTATCAATCTCATGGACGACAAGACCAGCTACAACTCTCAATTAGCATGTCTGCATAGAACCACAAGTACGTACAACAATATATTTCCAAACCTGCAGTTTCCAGAGGAAGTCAAGTCGTGCTGTAGACTCCACCTGCTGGCCGTGCAGGTACAGTGCCAACACAAACACTGTGAGAATCACAGGTGTCATCACCTTCAGAGGAACTTTGTTCACACTGTCCAGACTGAAAAAGAAATCATCTGAAATTACAGTGTCACCTTTTGTAACTGGACTCATCCTGCAGTACCATTAACAACCAAATATGTCTACCACTGTGCCCTACTTTTACCTAAAGCTATAACGTTTTTTTAAATTGTATCACAGATTAGCATGACAACAGTCTCCTCTGAGCAATACAACATCTCGTCTTCTTCACCATCACAAACACTGGATTGTTTGAAAAAATAAATACTAAGCCTTTAGCCAAACTGTGACAACCTATGCTGGAAACAGAAGAATGGGGATCAAATCACCGGTGGAAGTGCTTAGACTGTCATCAGTTTTATGAGTACCCATCCCATCTTGTTTGTTAAAGTTGTCACGAATTGAACTTAGCAGAGGCCTAGATGTCCCTTAGTATTTTTACCATTGCAGATTTTATACTTTAATTCAATTGGAGCCAAATCATTTCAATTCATAATTACTGGTAAAATATTACTTACCACTGTTCTGTTGTTTCATTGAAACTAGGCCTGATAAAGCAAGAATAATGTGATCGTGAGCTTGGACTATGACATTAAAATCAACAAATGAAAGCAGTTTAAGAGGAGACTTACAGGGTGATGGCACTGACGAGCAGGTCTGCGTTATCGAACAGTGCCACCTGAGGCCACTCCACCAGCAGCAGGAACGAGAGCTGCACAAAGAGCATGAGTGCCAGCTTCCCGATGCTGCTGATGTGGAGGAACACTGAGCAGGTCATCAGGGTCAGCAGGACACAGTAACTGAAATACTGCAGCAGAAAGAGAGAGCGTGAGGCCCACAGGAGCTTTCAATCAAGTTTGTAATTCAGATTAAGACATTGGTGTGGATCTATGCTTGTTTGCCTAAATATAATTATTTCTTCAGAAACATAACTTATTTTGTTGAATTGTAGCTGTAAAGTAAGTTGAATTTACAGTCTCAACAAAACAATATTCTTGACATTTTGGCAAAGTCTGAGCTCGCACCAGAAAAGCTGTGCAATGTTTTGCTGCTGACCTCTGGGAAATGGCAGGGCATGGTTTGCCTGGAACACAGAGTCAGGCCGTCAGCGGACATGGTGCTCAGGTTGTGCAGCAGACACAGATTCACTGAAGTGTTCAGCTCATCCAAAACACAGTCGCTCAGAGCCTCCACACTGCACGAAAACTGGAAACATGGAAACAGGCAAGAAGAAAGTCTTATAACAGCTAATCTTTTCATGTGATCTATCGTCTATACATTCAGGTCACATAGTGACCTGATATAGTATCAATGGGTTTAACCTAAGTAATTGGTTAACCAATTGAAGTGGGGTGGGCTAGTGGTTAGCAAGACAATTAAGTTGTTTTATAAAAAGCAGGCGGTCTGATCAAGACAAAGTGCTTCTCAACAACAGGTGGTTGAGGGACAGAAACTCAAAGTCAAAATAGTCACCCTCTCCCTGACCGGTGATTAACAGATGTACCATCAGTCAGAAAATTATGCATCAAACAGCAACTGAACGCTTCATAAATACTATTCCTACTACTGTTGGACAGGTGCAGTTATGTGGTGTGGTTTGCACTTACATATGTATGAGTGGCTAATAGCTGTGGGAATTTTTGAATGGTGTTGCATCAAGGCAGTTTCCTGAGAGCAATTAAGGCATCTAGTGTTTTCCACTCAAACCGAGGTATAATACCATAAGTCTTTTTGCTGGTGTGTTTTTTACATTTTATTTAGGATTAAAGTTATATGATAGTTATCTGAGTTAATATGGATCCATTAACCAGCGCATGCTCTCCATTGGCACACAACAGCATTTGATAATAGGGTGCAATGTTCAACAATGACAAATTATCCAAATCGTATGGTTTTCACTGATGCTTATTGTGGTAAACAACATCGAAATCATACAAGTCACACACAGAAGCGGTTTGTATGAGGGTTTAACGAGTTACAGCTCAGGATTAGGAGGCAGACCATGTGAGTGGACGTGTAATCCTTTAGGCATTCAAATATGGTCGATTGTAAAATTGCGTGAGCTCAGAGAAGCACACAGACAGAATAGAGATTTTGACCAACTAATAACTGGCATTGTCTTAAGATGAAGGGATGAGACTCGGGAAAATCCCTCCCATAATCAATGCAAAATGTCCCGTTAACCAAAAAACAAGCTGGCTACACTACCATTTTCTTCAGTGTTTGTAAATAAGGAAAATATGGCAGATATAAATAAATTATCTGTCACACTGATGAGCAATTACAGCTCATTTTCTAAATATAGGGCCCCCTCAGGCCAATGCTCTAATTTTACAAATGCCACGATGATGCTGGATTTTATGATATATACTTTGAAGTAACAGGGAAACACACAGGAACAAACCAAGACTTGTCATTTCACATGCACCTATTAATAATGTTGTGATTAACTAATTATTTAACTATTTATGATTGTATGTGTCTATCGCCTTTCTATTGTCTGTGTCAGTTACTGATGGAAACTTAAACCACCACTAGTGGGATCAAGGAAGTATTTGTCCATCTATGGTTTATAGTCAAGACTAAAACTAACTTTCAAACTACATTGATTTTAGTTTACAAATAAATCAGTGCTATATGATGTATTAATGTACACAGTTGTCCTCTGCATTTGACCCATCTCTTAAATGCCACTGAGGCAACCAGGTCAGAAACTTCAATGTTTTGGTGATGGGGGCGATAGAAATATTCAATTGAATTCAATTTATTCTTGTTTAGCCCTAAATCCCAACAGCAGTCATCTCAGAAGACTTAACAAAACCGTTGAAATCACCAACACAGATCAGAGAATCAAACCGTTCAAACACAAAAATATAGAACCCATAGGTATTGGTCCATATGGTGAGACCAATGTCCATGAATGTTGATAAATGTCCATACATGGGTTATAATGTTAGTGTCCTAGATCTTCACCACTGTCCTTCTTGTTAGCACTAACTGTCCAACAGACCCTCCTGCATCGGCAAGGAAAAACTCTAAAATCCAGTGGGAGAAAGTGAGAAACCTCAGAGATCCACATTGAGAAAGGGATGTGTTATAAATCCAGAACCTAAGCTATGTATGTAACAGATCTTACCACACCTTTATAAAAAGGAGGAATGATTAACAATGTCAATATACTTCCTGGAATCATTATCTCATATATTAGGTATAGATATTTGGTAGCTTTGGCCTTAGCTCTTACCATATTGGCAAAGGATGAGATGAAGAGCAGCAGAATTGTGAAAACGCCCACCACTGTACTGTGTGCACGAGACTGGACTATCTTCTTGGTCAGAGTCTGCAAGGCAGCTGGGAACCGCTAGAGTACCAAAGAACAGACAAATCAGATCAATAGCAGAGGATATTTGATTAGTGTTAACGATAATGTTTTCTTACTTTTATACAAGAATAAATAGCACAAATAAAGAGGATGTTGACAAGCATAATGAATACGCTGATGTAAAGACCAACCATAAGAGGGGTTCTGTGAAGAGACAAGACAGCATTATGATGCATCAAACTCATTAACTTATAGTAAATGAATAAAAACAACATTTCCCATTAACTGTACAGCAGGACATGGGAACCGGGAAACGTGTATTCAATCAAAATAACTTGCCTTGTAAAAACAGTCATCTGGATGGTGCAAATAAAACAAAAAACAAACAGAGTGCAGGCAACATATCCTCCAAATCGATCATCCACCTTTTTGGAATACTGTAAAAAAATAAAAAATAAAAATAAACTTCAATTGTTAGTCCCTTTTGTACACAGCAAAAAACACACAGATTATCAAAAAAAGTTTGTTTTAAATATTCATAACAACATATTGTTTATTGTGGCAAAAATAAGGGAAAACAGAGAAATATCAGAAAAAAACGTCGCTACAAACCAGCATGATAAAATATAAAAATATATATTTTACATGATAAGCAGGTGGCCTGATTTGGCCTTCAGGCCGCAAGTTGAATAGGCCTGTCTTTGTTGCTGTTCATTCAAAGCACAGAAACAGCTCTTCCATATTTTAAAAGGAATTTTGTGAATCTTAATTTATGAAATACAAAGACTGATCTACATACAAGATTACGGAAATTAAGGCCCAATTTAGTTCACTATAGATACTGTAATTAATACAAACCTTTCTTTCTAAATCCGGAGTCTGAAATGTAAGTAAAAACTTTTTGACGTGGTCTTTCCGGAGCTGGTCTATGCTGCGTGCGTCAATGGCCCGTCCCAGAAACTCATCCACCTCATCCTCAGGGTTCAGCGCCTCTTGAGCACAACGACTGGAAGTGCAGAAAACATCAGGTCACTCCACAGACAGATGTGACAGGGAGCGAGTGACTCAGACTGAATGTGTTTTGGATGCGACTCTCAACAAGTGGGTTTAACTGAAAAGGAGAAACTGCCCACTAGAAAAAACTGCCCCAAACTGTTTTGTGTTATCTGCTTCTTTGCTAAAGTTATGTTTGTGGATGAAAGTGATACTGATGATGTATTTTCTTAATACAAGCAGTATTAGTATTAATTATGGATGGATGGATGGATGGATGGAAAATCACCTGCATTTGTTGGTGATGGCCAGAAATTTTAACTAATGAGTTTTATATCTCATTCATCCATTTGACTAAGCTCCTCACCCTATCTCTAAGGGAGCGCCCGGCCACTCTGCAGAGGAAGCTCATTTCGACCATTTGTATCCGCGATCTCATTACCCAAAGCTCATGACCATAGGTGAGGGAGGGAACAAAGATTGAGCGGTAAATAAAGAACTTTGCAATTCTGCTCAGCTTCCTCTTTACCACAACGGTCCGATACAGCGACCGCATCACTGCGCACGCTGCACCGATCCGCCTGTCAATCTCACGCTCCATCCTTCCCTCACTCGTAAACAAGACCCCGAAATACTTGAACTCCTCCACTTGAGGAAGGACCTCTCCACCCACCTGGAGAAGGCAAGGCACCTTTTTCCATTCTGGAAAAAGGTTTGGAGGTGCTGATTCTCATCCCAGCCACTTCACACTTAGCTGCAAACCGTCCCAGTGCATGTTGCAGGTCCTGGATTGTTGGAGCCAACAGGACAACATCATCCGCAAACAGCAGAGATGAAATCCTGTGGTCTCCAAACCGGACCCCTCCGGGCCCTGGCTGCGCCTAGAAATTCTGTCCATAAAGACATTGAACGAAACGGTTGACAAAGGGCAGCCTTGGCGGAGGCCAACATGCACCAGGAACAGACTCTGGTCATACAGGGACCAGATGGCCCTTAGCAGAGGACCCCGGACCCCGTACTCCCAGAGAACCCCCGAAAGGACACCCTGGGCAACATGGTCGTACGTCTTCTCCAAATCCACAAAGGGACATGTTGGGCAGACTCCCATGAACCCTTGAGTATCTGATGGAGCTGATCTAGTGTTCCCCTGCCGGGACGAAAACCACACTGCTCCTCCTGAATCAGAGATTTAACTATTGGTCGAAGTCTCCTCTCCAGTACCTTGGAGTAGACCATACTGGGGAGGCTGAGGAGTGTGATCCCACAATAATTGAAACACAACCTTCGGCCCCTCTTCTTGTAGAGAAGTACCACCACCCCGGTCTGCAACTCCATTGAACCGCCCCCGATCAGCACGTGATGTTGAAGAGACGTGTTAGCCAAGACAGTCCTACAACATCCAGAGACTTTAGATAGTCAGGACGGATCTCATCCACTCCTGGAGCCTTGTCACCAAGGAAGCTGCCTTAGCCTCTTTCTCTGGGACGGAGGACGTGACAGGGGGATTGAGGAGAACCTCAATGTATTCCTTCCACAGCACAACAATATCCCCAGGCGAGGTCAGCAGCTCTCCACCTGCACTGTACAGTGTAGGCAAAGCACTGCTTCCCCTTCCTGAGGCGGCAAACATTTTGTATAGCTAAGTGGTTCCCAAAGTGGGGGTCGAAGAACCTAAGCTGGGGGTCACAAGATGATTTTCAGACAAGTATAATTATACAATTGTTTTGATAACATTATTTTTAAGTAATATTAGATCCACTAACACAATAAATTACAACTTCAAATTATTACTATTGTCTACAATTTGTATGTATGAGTGGGGGTTCCAGGCCTGAATAATTTGGGAACCCCTGGTCCTTCTGGAGACAGACATTGTTAGTGTTGCACATGTTGATTAAATACAAAAATAAAAATATGATCTTGGACATAGTGCCCTTTGATGTAAGTAAAGGCCATTTAGATTTGATTGTTAAAGAGTCGTGCACTCACTTGTCTTTGCTGGAGGCTTCATCGATGCCCTGTGAAAGACACATTCAGACAGAAGTGAGAACAGCACAGATATGAACTGCAGAGGCTACAGAAACATGAATATCTCCCATAGACTGCAGGAGATTATCATGGAGCAACAGGGCGACTGAAAAAGAGACAGGGACACAGACATCTGCACAGCTAATCCCTGCGAGCCAGACTGATGTTTTAATTAATGCCTGAAGGCTTCAAATTACACCCACATTGCCCTCTGGGTTCAAACCCTTCTTAGAGGGACAAAATGACATTAAGGGTATGGTAAGAATGCAGGGGAGAGGAGTAAATTAGGCATGTACTTAACAGAGACACAGGAAGAAGACATGTACAATGAAAGACAGTGGATTCCAGCAGAAGCCTCATCAGATTAGAATAAAACGAGACACTAGAAATTCCAGGGAATCTAGTTTTAGTATAATGTATAACTATATCATAATGTTATGGCACATTAGCACATTTCAAAAATTAATAGAGCCAAAAATGTAATGTTTGTATAGCTTAGCAATTGATCAGGATATATGGATAAGTTGAATACAATAATAATTTGGTGGAACTGATGAGGTACTAAATTACTTTACTATGACAATGACAATGGCTAATAGTTATGTTACCCAAACGTATAATTTCAATGATACGGTTTGTTGTGTCAAAAACAAGTCCATGGGTGGTTGTTGCAGAATGTATGTGGCTCACCATCTTCCTTAAGACTTTGGAGCCCTTGTTCCTGGAATATCTGTCCTGCCCCCAGTGTGAGATGGGTCCATCCAATGAGTTTGCCCGTGCCCTCTGCATCTTGGCCATCATAGCTTTCTCCTCTTTCTGCAACGACACCAGCGAGAGGGACTTCAGAACAGATGCTGTGACAAGCAAGGTCTTCTATGTCAGCTCATAATCTATTATACTGTTTGTGTGAAATATGGCACCGCTGTGAAATCGTAGAGAGGTCAAGGATATGTGCGTATGTGCGACTAACCCTTTTCTGGCTGCAGCCCAACACCAAGAATGTTTCGATGTCGTTCTCCTTCAGGTAAGCATTCCTCTCCCCCCCATGTCCTGGCTCAACCTCATAATCCCCGTTTAGATATTGCAGAGTGGCTTTGGTGATGTGAATACGCCTAAAACAGACACATTGTAAACTAAAAGAAGTGGGCGGGACGATAGGGCTAATGGTTAGTTTTGGGAGGCCTACCCAGCTTTACCCCCGGCCTCCATCTGGTTGGCAAGAGTCACATCGTTGGACCAGACGTCAAACTGCCACTTGCGAAGACCCAGCACCCCACAGTGAACCCGCCCACTGTGAATGCCCACCCGCATGTTCACGTTAACTCCCGTCACCTCTCGCACCAACCTGCCAAGAGACAAATGTACAGATGAGAGGAACATTTAGCACCCACTTCTCCAGACACATGTTTTTAAAATATTTGTTAGTTTTTGTGTACGATTGGAAAAACAACCACAAGGAAAAAGCATACAATATAAAAATAGATCGTTTTATAGTAAAGGTATGTACTAGAGTAGTTTGTACAAGTTCTTGCCATGTTGACTAATGTGTTAAAAATGTCTTTCTTAAGTCAGCAGTGAAAAATACCTGACAATGTTTATGACAATGAAAACCAATCAAAAGTTGGACCTGTCAGTGGCAAATAACTGCCCTTGCGCTGTGTGATCTTGGATCAAGCAAGGCTGTTTGAATTAGATTATGTTCGTTGTTCTATCAATGTACAAAAAGTATTTTTAAAACATTATTTCCTTAATATATACAACTTTTAATTTTGTCTTGAGAGCTTCCTTTATTACCCTTCCACCAGGGGGTATTGTGATTGCCTGTGTGTGTGTGTGTTTGTCTGTAGGAAGTTTTGCACAAAAACACAGAACGGATAGAGCTGAAATCTGGTGTGCAGAGGGCTGTGATTTCCCCTCTGCTTGTGGGACTAATAAAAGCATCATTAATGTAGTGGTACATTTCAAGATGATGCGTGTTGTTGACAGGATATGCTCTTTCCGTGTGCACGTTACAGTTCTGTAATGTGTTCTTCAACACAGACATTTCCTACCTTGGGGACAAATAAAGTTTCTCTTATTTTTACACTTACGAAATAGCTTCAATCATGTCAACTCCCATCTCAACACAGCAGTGGGCGTGGTCAGCGCGGGGCTCGGGAAGCCCAGACACACAATAGTAACAATCTCCCAGGATTTTGATTCGCAGGCAGTGGTTTTCCTGCAGAACAAAGATAAGTATGTCAAGTGGCTTCATAATGCATAATTTAGATGAATCATCATTTGTTACACAATGCTTAAGTAATCTCTCCCCATGCATCCTGTAGGCTTCGTCATTTACAGTCAAGTTACATAAGGACTCTGCTCAAAGTTCTTCAGTAATGACAGTTGCAGGAGGTTTCTCACCGAGGCCAGTTTGTCAAAGCGAGCAAACAGTTCATTCAGAGTCATGACCAGTTCCTGTGCTGTGCACTGGGACGCCAGACTGGTGAAGCCTTCAATGTCTGCAAACAGTATACTGCAAAAAAGAAAGCAGAAGGAAAATGAAATGTTTACTTTCATAAGAGCAAGATCTTGATTAACCTAGTCCCTCTGTAAAGGTCACATATTTGTGCAGCTCTGGCTCTTTCATCACTGTTGAAAGTAGGTCACCTCTGTCCTCTCTCTGATCGACAGCAGCCCTTGTCTCCGTGTCTGCATGCCACACATTACTAACTTTTGATAGTAACAAAAGGCGAGAATCAACAGCAGCCCTGCTATAGAGTTCCACTAGAAGGCAACAGATGGCACTGTTGATCCCAAAAGATGCTTCACAACTGAGCGAGCATCTTCTTTGGCCTTTAATGACAAAAGAGTATGTTATGTTTCCAAGCTGCTGTAGAAATGCATCAGCTCATTAAAGAAAAAGCAAAAGTATGGATGTGTGCAAATGAAACGAATCTCAGAGTCAATCTTTGATAACATTGATAATCATAATTAAAAGCATCCCTGCAGGATAGCCATGTAATCTGACCTCCATCTGCCTCATAAATATCTTATACATGTGGCTTGTCCAGGGCAGGTGCACTTGGAAATGACCTGAGTCGAATGGGGGACACAGTAGTACTAATCTAAAGTTACATTTAAGTAATGGGCTGCTTCTGTAAGTATACACCTTTGTGGAGCAGAGAGAGGCTTTAACAATTTGTTCGAATAAGAGCATCACCTGCAAATATTTGGGTCACCCCTAAGAAGATCTCCAGCGCAACCTCATTTCATCTTCAGCACATTCACGGCCACAAGCTGGGCCAAAAAATGGCCTATTGTAAAACAGATGAAAAACAGATTCACCATACAATTTGAAGCAGATTGCTTCCTTGTGTAAAGTCAGATTTTTTTTGTTTGTGCTGTCAGTGTCACATGATTGCCAACAGGACTAAAGTAGGTCAAGTCATGGCTAAATCGCTGCAAAATGTATTAACAAACTCTCAATAATACACTAAACAAAAAGAGTGACATTAATACAACTAAAGTAAACATACTGTTGAATTACTGAAATGTAAAAAAGTTACAGGTATGAAACTGGCGTTAGACAAACATTTTATTATACTTTTTGCAATTTTTCTTTAATTTCTTTCTGTTATTTATTTTAGTCACCCTCTATCTACGTTTTGCTGTTTCAAATAACATTTCTGAAAAACTCAGCTGCTTAAACTAAAATGTTAACAGTCTTAAAGTTAATTAATTTTAAGTTATCAGAAAGGCATACTATAAATAAAGCATATACATGAACAACAATTATTGTGCAAGAAACACCAATGTTAATTTCTCCTTACACATCACAGACCAACATAAACCTTGATTTCAATAATTGTAGCGATAGTAGTCTTGAAACAAATTATTTCTCACACACAAAAAAGTTATATAACCTTGTTTTAAAATGTTACTCCAGTTTTTCAAAACTCCAGAATGCCACTTTTCAGACCACACTGTAGAACAGCATTGAAATGGCACTGAAAATGATTTACAAGTATTGCTTTCACCAAGTTATTTACTATTAGTCCTTTGAGGACATAGATGACACGGGGACCGAGAAAGCGTAAAAAACAGCGTTAAACACAATCTGAAGCAGACCGTGTAAAATGCCGTGCTCAGTCAATTGGACTATTTGGTTTTGGTCAGAGTCACATGTAGAATGCAACAGGACAGGCTGGAGAATAGGTGTAACTCAAGTCACCAGTGTGGAATAAAATCACAAATACACCGGTCTGCACCACCCAAACGTTTAGCCACGGTGCTTTCAAACACGTCTCAACACTGGAGCTGCTTCCACATATGCTGTGCATTTGAGTTTATTCGTCTGTCTGGGCCCTGAATCCTTCTTTTATCTGATTCTGGACTCTATTACGCTGAGCTTGGAGGCATATTTAGAGTCATTCTTCTGCTGAAAACACAATCATAGTTTGACTAAGGACAAAACAGATGGCACAGAATGATGCACAAAACAATTTCACAATAAAACAACATCCATAAACCATAAACAAGTACCTTCTAAAACCGTTTACATAGTGTTTTTTTAATACACATTTAAAATAGGATTTTTAAATACATGATACCAAATAATACATTAATTTGGTCGGCAATAGGAGAGATAGGATTCAAGATTACATAGTTGTGGTTTCAAAGTTAGGTACTCCAGATAGATACAGTATAATATAAATATCTATTCTAAAACAATTCAGAAAACGTTTAGATGTACAGTGTAGTTTTCTTTATTCAGTATTTTTTTTTTTTTCAGGTTGACTTTTAAAAACCTGTACCAAGAAGAAGGGGAATAAAATTTCAGATAATAACTGTGGCAATAAGTAATGATTAAAAAATCTAAATCAGTCTTGATTATGTCAATACAGTATTTATGTGGTTCTTCCCTGCTGCAACAGTAATTGGCATTTCACTGTAACTGTAGGTGCCCATCTGTCCTACAACCTTGTCTCCATTCCCAAAACCTTGGCACCATCATTCATTATGGAAACCAGTATGTGACATCAACCCCTCAAAGCACCACCAACCATTCATGCACACTCCAGACTTAATCTAGGCCAGGTGGGTGAAGTGTCTTGCCTAAGGACACAACAGCAGTTTGGCACTTTAAATCTGTCCCACTGTGTTACATGGTGTTCCCAGAGGTCTCTCATCACAGTACAAACCAGGCGCTGCCCTGCTGAGCTTCAAAGGTCTGACATTCTGGCTTTCATATGCAGGTGGCGCAGGTGGCTTTGACTAAATGTTGCTACATGTAGGAATGTTCTACTAGTTATTATCATCAATACAGACAGATTTGTGCAAGATAATTACCCCCTAAAGTTGTGATTCCAAAAACAAACTTCATTTTTAATATTTGAGAAGGCCAACAATCACAGATCATTCAAGCTCAGTTATCATTTCATTACTGGTGATAACCAAATGCGAACTTTCCAAGATACAGGCACATGAACAAGCTGGAACACCCAAATACTCAACCGGAGTCCTAATAGACTTTAATTTATGTCTCGATGCAATATTTACCTAACATTGTCATGCTTTTGGATGTAGATCTTGTGGAACATCATATCTTCCTTCTTGGCATTGATATCCTCCTTCATTTCAACAGCAACATGCCTTGGCAGCACTGACAGTAGTAGGCGCTCCTGAGACCCACACACACACAGACAGGGGAAGAGGAGAATGGAGAGATGAGGAGAGAAAAACAATGTCCATTCATTTATTTTCATGTGTGAATGCTCAATGAGTCACTGTGCCACGCTGGCATCTGCGTGGGAATGTGTGAGTCTAGAAGAGAGGTGGGGCTGCACAATATACTCATTGACATATTGTTGGTTTGGAAGCACTGACACAAACAAATCAGCGATTGAAACACCCCTCTCATTTTACATATGAATGTAGCTACGTAGACCTCATTTGCTTGGGAACTGCACAAGAGGCAATGTACCTGCTGTTGGTTTTCCCTCTGAAGGTGCAGCCTGGCCTGGATGTAGCCTCTGGTCTCTTGGAAAGCCTGTCTCTGGGACACCTCAGCCGGGTAGTGGGTGCAAATCCCAATCATGTTAGTACACAGGAAGATCAGCACGTTGGCAATGATCTAGAAAACACATATTCACATATCATGGTCAATTTAAAGAAACATAACACAGAATTCAACTAAGTATGTGCGTGTCTGGGTGAACTCTGCTTAAACTGGGTGAGGTTAAAAACTAAATTGATAACACTATGTCATAGGATTTACGGCAGACGTTTTAAGCGCTAAAGGGATCGTTCAAAGTAAAAGACCAGCACAGACCGGTGTTTTGGAGAAAGGGACGGTTTCTTTAACGTAGATAAGGCCAAACACATGACTGCAGGCACATGTGAATGAGAGAAGAGTTTATTTACCCGTGACTCTAAAATATCTAACACAGAAGGGTTTGTGAACCTGACTATTTTTAGTACAAGGTAATGAAAATCTTGGTTGAGTTGCATGGTCAAAATAAATAGGCCTGACCATTATAATAAATAAAAAAATAACAACACATTTTTTTAAAAATCGGGCGTGACCACCACCTACAAATGACAATTTATTTTGTGCCTATGGAAGCCGGCCCAACGTCAAGCTTGTTGTTGAGCTATAAAATTCTGTACAATTCTAAGGCAAAGCAAGAAAACAAAAATGGTAACGGCTCCGGACAAATCAGAAGTAAAGCCATTCATTTGAATAGGGCACCATCTTGGATCACTGGGGCTTGGGGTCTAGGTCACCTGAATGTAAAAAACATGAAATTGCAGCCTGCAGAGTGAACACCTGGGAAGTAAAACATTTAGTCTTTCAAAATGTTTTAAATTTTGCATCAAGTTTTGTTAGGGTGTCCTGGTCCAAAAAGTCAATCAACTTATGACTTATTTTAAATCTCTAAAATATATCCCGTAAATTATATTTTTTTACGTCCCCTCCTCAGTGGTTTAACCAACAGTGCTCAAAATTGCTCAACATAATCTACTTGAGCATCTAAAGTTAGTAGGGATGCATTGATTGTGGAATTTTGAGCCAATACCTATACATATGTTTAACATAACAACTTGGCCGATGTTTTTTATTTTTGTCATTCGTATATAGTTCTTGGTGGCTTCAGTTTTCCGTTTTTCCTCAGCTTGCATGTTATCACTGTACACCGCCTCATGCTTGCTTCTCAAATTTCTAATGAGACATCCCCCTTCTTGAAATCTGACTGGAACACGTTTTGCAAAGTGCATAACGCTGATCTTTATCTTTACTGTAAAATATTGTCACACGACCGCTGGCATCTTCTTTGTTTCTTCTACTGAGGAAAGTGCGCAAACGCCCTCTACTGATATCTCTTTGCATGCGCCTACCATCGGCGAATGTCAATTTCATTTGCCAATGGTAGTTAAAGCAAACATCGGCCGATGCCGATGTTCAGCTGATGCCTTGGTGCATCCCTAAAAGTTAGCTTCAGAATTTTGATCGCATGCGTGCGCCAGACTTGCAAATTGTTGTTATTTTCATAGAGACGCATTAAAGTTCTATGTTTTCAATGGAGGCACACACAAACTGTGGGAAAACTCCCCTCGTATTCCTCTGCTGGATACACAAATCAACCGGCCCAAGCCACGTGAAAACTTTTAAAAAGGGGTTTTGCTGAAGTCATGTCACTTACTGTATCCCTAGTGAAGGCGTGACATCACAGGTATGGTCACAATTATCTTGATGACCGTTTTTTTTAAATATAGGCTTCTAATGCTTTGGTAATGATAAATTGCTGGTAATGTGTGAATATAAAACATATTAGAATAAAAATATATATTGATACTTCTATCTACAACAGTTTGGACAGACCTCATTCAAAGATTGTTATATTTTCATGACTATGAAAATTGTAGATTCACACTGAAGGCATCAAAACTATGAATTAACTCATGTGGAATTATGGACGTCCTTAAAAATTATGAAACTACTGAAAATATGTCTTATATTGTAGGTTCTTCAAAGTAGCACCTTTAGCTCTGATTACTGGCATTCTCTTGATGAGCTTCAAGAGGTAGAACATGAGATGGTTTTCCAACAGTCTTAAAGGAGTTCCCAGAGGTGCTTAACACTTGTTGGCCCTTTCGCTTTCACTCTGTGGTCCAGCTCACCCCGAAACCATCTGGATTGGGTTCAGGTCCAGTGACTGTGGAGGCCAGGTCATCTGGCCCAGCACCCCACCACTCTCCTTATTGGTCAAATAGCCCTTAAATAGCCTGGGAGTGAATCTACAGTCAATAGTCAAGAAAAGAAAGGAAACTCATTGAATCAGAAAGTGTGTCCAAACTTTTGGTCTGTACTGTACCTGTTCACTCACACATTACATTTATACCTATTGTACATGGTATTGTACACTTTTAGAGGCAGGTGAAACCACCCAGAGCACCTGGAGGAAACCTACGCTGGGAGAACTTGCAAACTCAACAAAATATTATGTAAATGTGTATTTGAACAGCTATGAAAATCCTTGACTCTTAATATACAACAATTCACACAATTATAAATATGTATGCTTTTTTTTTTTAAATCTAGGTCAAGGCTGGGGGAGAAGGGGTGACCTCTATTGTCCAACCGCCACTGTTCTGATGTCTGCACAAGGGTCACACTGCAATCCAAGTATTCCTGAGGCCATTCGAGAATGGAGCTGCAAAGTGGGGGAAACTTTATATTTCAGGAAGTCAAATTCCCCATGTTAAATCCCTATTGATTATAAAAGTTTAATACAAACTTAGGGTCAGATCATATCTGCTGAGTAATGACAAGATCTACATTTATAGATAAAGTACGTATAAAACATTAAAAGCTGCAAAATTATCCAACATTTTAACGGTTTAATGGTATTTTGTTCAGCTCTTGTTCATTGGAATTTTGCTCCAATGGGGATTTTGAAAGGTGAATTTTACTTCCATAAACCTAAGCTTTGACCACTTCGCAGCTCCATATTGTAATGTTTTCTATCATGGCTCAATCCCATAAAACAAAGAGTTAGACAAACTTTTCTGTCATTAAATCTAGACACAACATAACATATAACAAAACAAATGTAAACAAGTGAAAATACCATCCTGAGGCAAATATGAATGGTGTAATGTGGAGTTTAATAATGTATGGTCCAGTGCGGAGGTATTGTGGTTATACAACGGGTCTTTTTAAGCACATAACAACATTATCTCTGGATGGAGCAATTGAAGTTTAGACAGTTAGCTTTATAGGGTCATCGGCCTTAAAAGCATTCCTCTACTGTGGGTCTGTGACGGAAAGGCTGGGTTTCTGCTCTTAAATATAGCCTGATACTGACGTGTTTGATCGAGTTGGCGGGAACAGATAAAGAAAAAGGAGACCTAAACCTTATTGTTTTTTTAGGATAATCACACACAAATCAAATCGTGCAAAGAAAATTACCATAGAATTCAATCATATAGAAAAAAAAATTAAATTCAGCAGAAATATTCTGCTGCTTGAGTTAAAATTCTTCAGTTTTGAATAGAGAGTTGGTTCTGAGGACTTCCCCATGTCACTTAAACACACAACACACACACAACTATGCTACACACAGCCACATACTCAGCCTGGGAAAGTCACTTGACCCATGACCAGAGCACACAGCGTTTCCTCTGAAGATTATCATCAATAATGAGAAAGACATGCAAACATGATACATGTGCACACAGACAGTTCACTTCAGAATAAAAAAAGAAATCATTACTTTTCAAGAAGAAGAAAACTCACCCGCACCACTATTTATGAATCCACTGGTATGTTGCCAAACTAGTGTGTTACTGTGTACATGTATGTCTATGAGGAAAGCACAGAAGAGAGACGATCACAATCTCTGCGACTGGATTCATGACATACTTCTATTGAGCCTGCTTCTTTATCAGTTTAAAGTATGAAATTCTTCACTTTGTAGACAAATTAGTAATATAACATTTGTAAGTAAGTAAGTAATCTTTATTTATATACCGCCTTTTCACTGCAAATCTGAGTCTCAAAGCGGTTTACAATTGTTAATTATTTTTGGGCATTTGTCTCTCACTCCACACAGAGATGGGAGCGCGGTCGCCAGTACACGAGGCGCATGCCAGAACTATTGTACATATTTTTAGTGGTAGGGGAAACCGGAGTACCCGGAGGAAACCTACGCAGACAGGGGGAGAACATGCAAACTCCACTCAGAAAGGCCCTGGTCCGACCGGGATTCGAACCCAGGACCTTCTTGCTGAGAGGCGAGAGTGCTATCCACTCAGCCACCAGCCACCGAGCAGTTTTCATGACTCAGCTCTTGACTGATGTCTCCATGTGAAATTTGTGACAAACTCAAAGCCATAAACTGTCAAAGTGGTGGCAGTGGTGAAGGTTTACTCTGTACACACACATGGGCTGGACTTGTGTTGCCACAACAGACCATCCAACGACCTGGACCTTAAACAAAACACTATTAACACCAGTTTGCCATAGGCAAATACTGCTGGAGAGCATATTCAATGGACATTAAGTGCATTCATCTCTCGTAGATTAAATAGGCAAACAAATTCTGGAGCAATTGTGAAAATACATCACGCATAGTTAAATGGCTGAAGAGCAAACATGCCTTTGATGTACTGCAAATACCAATGGGAGTCAGTGAATTTCCTGAAGACAGAAGCTTGTTCGGCTGACCTCCTTGATTCTGGATGTTAGAGAATAACAGATCAAACACTATTCAGATCAAAGCTGTCAAGAGGTAAGATACCACATCACCACTTTATTAAAAACCAGCAGAAAGAACCTAGAGAACTTCACACATGTGGCACATGTTCATTCAACAGACTCCGGTCAACCATTGTCCCACCCACTCACAAGTAAAGATAAACGCTAATCAACTGAGTTGTGTACCACCAGAGGAGAGAAGTGAAGGTCTCAACAAACACGCAAACACAAATGGATAACCGATGCCTCGCAACAACAAGAACCAGTAACAATGTTAAGTTTTCAGTCTGAGACACTGGACCACCTGCCGTTCCCAGGAAAGAGGAGCCGAGTAGAGGACTAACCTGCATTCAGACCAATTATTCAACCCAGAA